CATGTTTGGTTTCATTCCATTCAGTGGTTCTCTAGAAGAAGTTCAAAATGTAAAAAGTTAACGACGACGACGGACGACGACAGACGACGCCGGACGACGACGGATGACGGACGACGGACGCCAAGTGATGAGAAAAGCTCACTTGGCCCTTTGGGCCAGGTGAGCTAAAAATGATGATAGCACAATAACACAATCATTATGGCGGGGTGTATAAGTACCGAGCCACGCCAAGAGAATATTACCAAAAATGGACTAAATAGTAAAGTAAATAATTTACAAAGACAAATAAAAGAACACTATATAACACGTAATAAGATGATAAACAATGTCAGTACTACATAGAATCAGAGACATATATACACATGATAAACAATGTCAGTACTACATAGAATCAGAGACATATATACACATGATAAACAACGTCAGTACTACATAGAATCAGAGACATATATGTAGGACTGAAATCTATGGCGGGTTCCAGATCTATGGCAGATTCCTAATCTATGGTAAATATGACGTCATGTCATCCCAAATCTATGGCAGTTTTTTTTAGAATCCTAATCTATAGCAACTTTTTAGTTTCCTAATCTATGGCAATTTTTTTAGTTTCCTAATCTATGGCGGATTTCTAGATTTCAAATCTATGACAGATTTTCTGCAAAGGTCGGACCAGTCAGTGCATATCTGACCAATGATTTCGAGGTCGAAATGTCCAAAGGTAGCAAAAAAGCTGCTTTTAAATAAAATCCAGTATTAGAAAAACAAATTAGGACTATTACTAGGAAGCATATACATAACCGTTTGTAAAATGAGCACAGACTGTAGGTTTGAAATCATGTGCCCCGGAAGAATACTTATTTCCTACTCTGTGTATACTAGTAGTACCTGTGTGACCCTCTAAAAAAATCCTTATTTCTCCAACAGTACAGTTTTTCGACATATTTAGAGCGGAAAACGATATTAATATCTATTAGAAATCTATATCATATTTATTTTTTTCCAAATCTCAAGAAAGATTGTTTGCTACAATAGTACAGGTAGTCACTGTTATATAGCTGACAAAATACTTTATGTTGTGTTACTTCTTACAGAAAATTAAAGAGATCATAGGAATACAAAAAAATAGCATAAAAACACAAAACAGCAAACCAAAATGCACGGTAAAAGCTCGTACAATTAAGGGTGATGCCAACACCAGCAACACGAGAAGAAGAAAACAAGGGTAGAAACAAACACAATTTTGAATTATAATTTATTTATTAATTTATATCCTTGCAAACTTGCTTTTCGATCCTTTTCTTTTCCTTTTGTATAACAAAACCGTCGTCGTCATCGGCAGCTTCAACGTTCCATGACGTTATTTAATTGTGACGGAAAATTACGTAGTATCCAAATCTGCCATAGATTTGGAGAAAACAAAATACTGCCATAGATTTGTGTTATGTTTGGCGTTTGTGACATCATATTTACCATAGATTAGGGATTTGCAGAAATTTGCCATACATCTGGAACCCACCATAGATCTGAGTCCTACATATATACACATGATAAACAACGTCAGTACTACATAGAATCAGAGACATATATACACATGATAAACAACGTCAGTACTACATAGAATCAGAGACATATATACACATGATAAACAACGTCAGTACTACATAGAATCAGAGACATATATACACATGATAAACAACGTCAGTACTACATAGAATCAGAGACATATATACACATGATAAACAACGTCAGTACTACATAGAATCAGAGACATATATACACATGATAAACAACGTCAGTACTACATAGAATCAGAGACATATATACACATGATAAACAACGTCAGTACTACATAGAATCAGAGACATATATACACATGATAAACAATGTCAGTACTACATAGAATCAGAGACATATATACACATGATAAACAACGTCAGTACTACATAGAATTAGAGACATATATACACATGTGTTTATATGTCTCTGCTAGAATCTATACTTCAAAGACCATCGTGTATTATTTGTGAAGTTGATACGGAATATTTATCAACAAGGTCTTGGTATCTTCCGATGAACTTTTTTTAGAAAAAGAACGAGACGTTCTTTGACATAACCCTGGTTCATCAACTTTCTGCTCAGACACTGGTGACGTTTTATAAAGTCTGAGTAGCAGCTGCAAGCTCTTGAATACCGAATAAGTTGGGAAATGTATACAATGGCGGATCCAGAATTTTTTATAAGAGGGGGCCCACTGACTGCCTAAGAGGGGGCCCGCTCCAGTCACGCTTCAGTGATTCCCTATATAATCAACCAAATTTGTCCAGCAAAAAGGGGGGGGGGGGCGTCATAGATTCTGGTACTGAGATGACCGCTTATGTCAAATTCGAGGTATAAGTCTAAAATGAGGCGGAGGAAGATATATTGGCGGCCAAATCAGAAAACCGCTCCGGTCTCAGAATCCCAAAAGGGATTACCAACACTTTAACGCTTAATGGTTTACTGATTTATTGTTGCAACTCACGGTTTGCGTTTGCGTCAGTCCAGTAAATAGGACCTTGTTATCGTGGCAAACAAGTGTCGAATACTTATGTGTAACGAGGCGATAGTAGGCTGGATGCCCAAGCAATATGACTGAACTGAATTTAACCTGCTACCAAATGGTCCTCTTTCGTTAAAACACACTCTCCACGAAACTGTAACGGACATCCAAATATTTAAGGAGACGGATTAATATAAGCACTTGTTGCTTGTTTCTGAATCCTAATTGTGAATGTGTTTATAATTATACTTGTATTATTCATAATAATAAATATTGTTTACACCAAATATTAAAGGGCTGAGATGTTTAAAGCTTGATATGACTATGGCAAGTCGACAAAGCACAGGCTAGAAATTCGTTATTGCTCTAGGGTCTCTACTGTCGTAAGCAGTGAGTTAAAAAAACACAAGTGGTAGAAAACCTCCAGTGTTAAAAGAAACACGGTACAAATTTTGATTTATGGAATATCAGAAACCGAGATATTAAAGATTGTTTTATAAGAAGTCTAATGCATTTGTTAAAATGGAATAACAAATTAGATTTTTGACAAAGCAAAGCAGTGACTGCGATAAAAAAAAAAAAAGATCGAACATTTCAGCAAGACTAGTATATATATAATTATTTAGTACATTTTGTGTTTCAATGTCCGAAATATATTCATATTATATTCAATTGCCCAAACTATTTTTAAACCATATTCTTTGATGAAACCACTGCAAATTTAAATGTAACCTCTGATGCAAGAGAAATTTACTTTTAATTCATTTTAAGGCACAGTATATTATGTACGTAGTTGGGCAATATTTTAGACTTTTATGATTTTTTTTTATATATTTAGAAAATTGCATTTAGCTGCATCTGAATATGGAAACAAGATGCTCCGAGCCTGTACTATTCCCCTAGCTTTTCTGCACGAAACTGATAAAATGCAACAAGAATATTTTTGTTGAATGGGAACTATGGGGCTATAATTTAGCCTCGCTGGTGATTTTTGCTGGACAAAATTTCTGTTTACCCATTAAAGTTTTCAAGATAACAGGCAAAATAAGGTTAAAGTTGTGAATAAGTTGGAAAAAGTCATGTAGGATTGAATTGACTGTTTTAATCGATTGACTTTGTTGAATACCGATTTTGGTAATGTTGACGTATTTGAATGCCGACCCATAGATGGCACTTGCATAAAAATGGAATGGATCCTGCAACTTATAACAGTAAGTGGCGAAGTAAACTTCTATTATTAAAGTTGTCATAGGACTCATACTACGCCAAATCGAACTACTTACTTTTACTGGATGTCGATACCAATTAAAGAACCATTCATGCATTTTTTTTTTTAAATTGACACTTAACATTACTAGTATATTAAAGTTTGTTATTGACATATAATTCATATTATGAAAATCCAGCAAGGTAACCAATACAATAAATAAATAATGTGTATAATTTTAATATTTCGTAGAATTAGGAGGATGACCAGAAATAAGACTTTAAAAACTTTAAGAGAAGCCACCTGGTAGCTCAAACTTGATCACTTACATCACTAGATATACCAAGTAGACGGATTTTTACATGATATATATATACCATACGGGTGACAAGGGAATAGAAATATGGTCACCTTGGTCTTCTTCCGACCGGCAGTAAAAACCTTGACAAAGAGGAGCGTCCGTTTGGCTGTGCGGGATATATAAATTTGCTACAACGTCCGGTCAGAATGAAACATTGAATCCAATGACTCGTGTTGAGTGAATGTCATGCTGTCAGCACTTTTAAGAACCATTATAAAACACTTCGAGTTACCCGGAGGTGGTCTGTTGCAAGACCAAATTTTTGTCCCTATTTATCTAACCATTGTTGTCCAGTGGCAGTCAAAGCTTCCTGCCCTTCGTCCTTGTCGACCCACTTTGCAGGACCTACCTGTTGTATTAACTGTTGATTTGTTCTCGACCTGAACATGCATCAAATATGTGCCGCTTAACGTAAAGCAAAAAACTTATCAATTAATCAATCAATCAATGCTGATTCCAAACAAGATATGCATTCTGTTAAACTACAGTTTATTCATATACCCCGCCTACGATAGTAAAAGAAAATAAAGTTTTCCGGTCTGTGCGTGCGAGTTGTTATAGACTTGAATTTTAATCAGATTGCATATTTAATTATATGTATACCAAATTGGGGGTTTTACCCAGATTTTACGATTCACTGAACATGGAAATGTCACGAGTTAAATTCAATAAAATTTGATATTATTGACGATTTTTGTGAACAATAACAGTAATTCTTGTCTTTCATCGAAGATTGCTGAATCAAGAATGTTAATAGCAGCAACTATTAAAATTTTGTTTTATATACACGAGGTATGCAAAAGAAAAACAAACAAAAACAAAAACATATGAATGAAAAAAATAAAACTAAGAGTTATGTCTGTTTTGCATTGTGATGATAAAAGCTTAATTACCTAGTATCCATCCTCCTAGGATTTTTACACATATTTCCGGCGGTCTGCAAGTTGGAAAGAATGGCTGAAGAATGTACATTGACGCACCATAAGAAACAAACGCCCAGAACGGACCCTGAACAAGTAGATAAGTTCCCCACAATACAAGAAATGCAGGCAATGGTCCAAAAACATGAAATATGTATGTATATGATCCTCCTGCAAATGGAAACATCGCAGCAAGTTCAGTGAAGCACATAGCCTGAAACAGATTGATAAATCCACCAATAGTCCACATAATTAACGTCAGGCCAATAGATCCTGCATTGGCTAAAATCAGTGATGAGTTGATGAATATTGAAACATGTCCGGTTACAGCTACCAAAATGGATGTACATTTTAACAGATTGATAGTTTTTTTCATCTGAATCGTTTCTTCTATTCTGACATTTTGGTCAGTGCTTTCTTCTTTTTCTGGTCGTTCCATTTTTAAACTAAGATATATTCCTTGATTTTGAAATGAATCTACCATTTAAGTGTTCCCATGCTGTTCTATTTAACGGAAAGTATTAAAGTTTTGTTAACTATTTCTTGTTTACATTGAGGTAACAGAACCGTAAATTGTTTACATGTATAACGTCTATTATTAGCTTCGATTGTAGACCGAGTCAAGTAAGGGATCGATTTCAAAATTGTCCGTAATAGGTGTTACAAATGTCATGATTATGTACATTATAATCATGATAACGTAGATATCGATTTACGAATAACTACTTATGAAAGCGACCGGCCCAACGAAAATAGTGTTCATTGTATATTATCCTACAACAAATCAAATGAAAAATCATACAGATATCTAAGATATTTTAAAATTTGACCTAATTTTCATTTTTTTTCTGAAATAGAAGCAAACATGCCCCAGTTTTCATCAATTTGTAATTCAATTCCCTACAAGCAAGATCAGACTCAAGATGTACATATGACCTTAGCTTAGGCTTTATCGTATGATGATAAATTATAGATTAGGGATTTTACACGTTAAACTATTCGTCATCTCGCGACCTCATTTGACTGATACATACCAAATATGTTATGCATATTTAGGACGAGAACTATATAGGATAGCTAGGAAAGTTAAATGCTGTCTGTAACTCAAAAAAGTAAGGTACATATAGGTCCGAAATTTTGCCTTGTATAGAATCATTAAACCTTGGACTCTCTAAAAGGCTATTGACGTGTGCTTCTGTTTTTAAAATATCTTGGTAAACAAATTGTCTAGGCTTGTATATTTATGTAACACAAGTAAGCTTTATCCGTAGTAGAAATGCGTCTGGGGCTGTTTAGTGATGCTGTTGACATTGTTTTACTGGATTCTTTTTATCCGACAGAAGACATAAAGGGCCGGTTAAAGAGCTACAGTGCTTATATTGACTTGTTTTCGTAAGTTCCAACTTCAAATAAAAAATAATATGTTCTGATTGATTTGTTGTTGGTTGATTAACGTCCAATGATCAGATTCATGCATATGGTTCAATGATAAGTGTTTCTCGTTTTTATATAGATTAGACCGTTGGTTCTCCTGTTTGAATGGTTTTACACTAGTCATTTTGGGGCCCTTTATAGCTTGCTGTTCGGTGTTAGCCAATGCTCCGTGTTGAAGGCCGTACTTTGACCTATAATTGTTTACTTTTTATACATTGTGACTTGGATGGAGAGTTGTCTCATTGGCACTCATACCACATCTTCTTATTTATATATATATGATGTAATATATGCTGCCTGTGGTTACATTACGATTTTATATTGTATGAAGTTACTAGGGTGTCGACATAATCATGTTAAATTGCACATGACTACAAGTTTTTAATAAGACTACATTTAAATTACTAAGTGCAACATTTAAAGTTCTGAGCCTAAGGCAAGTTGTAATTGCAATTACAAGATTTATTTTGTCTAGAAATATGTCATTTACTTTAGATTTAAATTCTCAACAGGGTAGTCTACAGAAAGTCTGCACTCGTACACATTTTGATAGTTTGTATACTCATTTAATAGTGGGTACGCAGAAATACAGGTTGGTTCTTATGTTGTGCTGTTATGCCACGGTTCCATGTTAGGGGTGGGGTGAGCGCTCACAGACATGATCTTTATGTACCTGTACTAAGTTAGAATGCTGTATTTCAGTGGTTGTCGTTGGTTGCTGTCTGCCATATTAGATTTTTGTTATATGTATTGTGATCAATCTGGCCGTTATTTTTTTCATTTGTAGATTGATTCACATTTTGTCATGTCGGATATTTTTTATAGCTGACTATACGGCATGGGTTTTGTTCATTGACGAAGGCCGTCAAGTACGATGACCTGTAATTGCTTAAATCCATGTAATTTGGAGTCTGATGGATACTTAAAAAAAAAAAGTATATGCAGCTTATCCGGGACTTGCAATATTCATACATTGTCTCCTGCCAAGTCATCTAGCAAAAATATTTTGAGCTGATCCGATGTTATTGATTGATTGTTGGTTGCTTAACGTCAGTGGCAAATATTTCATGCGTGTTCAGGATTATAGCTGAGGTTATCTAAATATTTGTAATATGTCTGGGGTTTTTTACAATTAAATGTTCTCTTAAATTATGACAATATATTATGTGTTCAATTTCTTTTCTTGCCTAATAGAAATTACCCTGCACCTGTGCTTAGATGAAGCATTATAGATATGTCTAAAATTAATCTGTCTAAAACCGGTAATTATGACCTTCTTGCATTTGCAAAGGGTTTGGTACGTTTGCTGTGTGTGGATTACTGTGACTTTCAGAAGAAGAACAACAATGAAAGCCCTCTTCCTTTTATTTGGCTTTTGTAAAGCACATGATGTGAATTTAAAGCTTCTGTTCGAACACTGTTTATACCATGTGTAAGCACATTAAATCAACTTCTGTCTTTCTCTTGTTTGTATTCAGTGTTTCAAAATCAAACACACAATAAAATAAATAAAATAACAAAATATTAAGGATGCAATATGTCTGTATTGCATTGTTATGTAAAAATTACTGACCTAGTATCCATCTTATCAGGAGTTTACATTCTTTTCTGTCGGTCTGCAAGTGGCAAAGCGTGGCTGTAGAATGTACAGAGACGCACTACAAGAAAAAAAAAGGCCAAGGAACATCCATGAACATGCAGAAAACATCCCCATAATGCTAAACATGCTGGTAATGGTCAAAGTACTTTAGGTATGTAACGATATAATCCTCCATCAAGTGGGATCGTCGTTTCAAGTTCAGTGAAATACATAGCCAGACACAGATTGATGAACAAACCAATTATCCACCGAATTAACGTCATCCCAATACAAAAGAGCCTGCTTGTATAAAATCAGTTGTAGCGATACAAATATTGAAACATGGCTGGTGGCGGCTACCAAAATAATAGTACACTCTAAAAGATTGAAAGTTTTTTTCATCTGAAATGTTGTGCTGTGTTTTATTCTTTGTCGCTCTATTGATTTTAACTCATTCATTCATTCATTTAATTCATTCATTAAAATAAATCCAACGCAATCCATTTTACAGCTGTATTTCGTCAAGTTTAACCGGAAGCAAATGAACTTTTGAGGAGTTTTCCTTGTAAACCTTAGAGTTACATAACCACAAAAAGTTATATAAAGATAATAATACCAACTAGCTATAGAGACTCAAAGAAGCCTGCATTGCTCACCTGGCATTTTGCATATTATTGGTACAACACAACACTTGAGAATATTTGGATTGAATGGAAATCTTTTCTTGCTGATAGTTTTGCTAGAAAATGTTTTTTACATAATCCATTATAGTTTTCAAGATAATGTGCATAAGTTGAAAATTTGTTACATGTACTGTGATTTAGGAGCAAATTGATTTCATTTGACTTACTTGTAGATCTTGTGTTGCTGAACACTTTTGCTGTTTAAAGTTTCAGTCTATCTTTTATAGTTCCAAGATATTTACAGTTTCTCTCTATATGATATAAGGGATATTTAGTGTGGTGGCTAATGAGACAACTATCCATAAGAGTCCAATTGACGTAGATGTCATTGTACGTGACAAAATGTGAAAAAAAACAACGGCCTGATTTATGATAAAACAATAATAAAAAAAAAACAAAAAATATGACACACAGCAACTACTGCATTACGGCCTCCTGACTTAACACAGGTATATAGATGGTGGCGGGGTTAAGCACGTTTCTCAGCGATCAACCTTTACCTGAGTTGCGTTCAATATCGTTGCAGCTACATAGTTGACTACTGAACGTGTAGCTAGCCTAGCTGCTATCCATTTAGCAGCTAGGCTAGCTACACGTTCAGTAGCCAAAAATCTACATAGCCCTATGTAGCTGCTACGATATTGAACGCAACCCTGGGACAGTGGTGTTACAGCACAACATAAGAATAAACTGTTAACATCAGTTGAAAATGTCGAGACTCATTACAGATTGCCACGACGTACAACAAAGAACTAACATAAAGACCACATTCTCCCCGCGCAGACTAAAATGTCAATCAGTACACATCTCTGTATACTATACTGAGTTTCTGTGAACAATGCAAAAAATAAAAAAAATTAAAAAAAAATTCTTGCTGACAATTAATGTATTTTACTAAATTTTTCTCTAACGTGAGGTTACCAAAATTTCACATATTTTGACAGTTTTGTTTCACCTACGTTTATTTAAGAAACCGACAAAAGTTTCCATTCTCTGTTTATTTTGACGATATCCGTATTAATTATATAGTTCCACAAATTTAATATTGAGTTTTTACTGATACAAAAATGGGTTTGAACCTACATCAAAACGATCCAAGATTTTGTAACGAGGAGATCCTAAATTGCAACCATGGTTATAACAACACATCTGTAAAATCGAATAACTGGTGTTTTGTTTTATTTCTTCGCATCTTTTTAACAATTGGACAATACCCATGCTTGTTATGCATTTAGTATGAAATGGAGGTCTGTGACATATTTTAATTTTTCATCAAGCTTTTCAAAAGTAAACTTTTTGTAGATGCAGCGTTTCCGTACATTTTGATTTTTCACTGGAGACTTTATCTGTTGGTATATAATGTAAGCGTTTTATGTATATTTTAGTTTATTTAGCTTTGTTGCATGACGTGCATTGTTTAGTCTCTACAAGACTTTCTCCACTTTTTCTGAAAAATGGATGAAATTTGGGTACTACATGTAGGTGAAATTTGGGTACTGTGACGTTATCAATTATAGTTTTGGAGATTGATAATGGATAAATATTTGTAGAAATCGTCATTTAAGGGCACTAGTTCCTACAAGGAGTCGTCTGACAATTTCGTTCATTTGTGCTAAATATATAATTGATTTTACTGATCAGTTCAGGTTTATACTTTCTCTCTATCTACCATAAATTTCACCAAGATCGCCAAATGTATTCCTATAAGAGTCCAAACCCTCTTTTAATGTATCGACTACGAATCGCCTAATTGACTTATTTGTGGAAATTTGTCTGTCTGATAATTATGTGTGTTTAAAGTTTCAAGATAATAGCATAAAACGCAAAAAATTTAGTAAAAGTCGTCATTCAAAATATATCTGCAAGCAACCCTACTGAATTATTAGCCCCGCCCGTCCAGAGCTTGACATGTTGCAGGACAATTTGTCTATTGTTGAAGATAAAGAATCAATCTTTGGTTATCTTAATAAATAACACTGAGTAATTAGAAAGTGACAGACGTTGTAACATCAACCCTTTATCAAGAAAACCACGATAGGAAGCACAAACTCTGAAATATCGTTTGAACTGGGAGATATATACTCCGTATGCACGTAGTGCTCGAATGTTGGAATGTTCACTTGGTATGTAGAAATGGAAAGCTAACAATCGAAAAGCTGAAACCATCTCTTTTGTTGTGAAGTTTATTCTCAACCGTACCACAGTGTGCATTTCTAAATGTGAGTCAAGATATGAGGTAGACTTAAATGTATACCTGTGGTATCTCTTATTTCTCGTTTGATGTGATAAATGCTTTGAACAGTCACCAAATTCTGAATATTTAATTAGAGGACATCATCTTAATAGAGGAATGCAAACATAATGAATAATGCTAGCTTCATTCTATTCTACATGATAAGCTCCTGTATGAAGGCTACCTCATAAAGATAAAGGAACCAAGTCCGCAAGAAGAGGAGCACATTTTGTCCTAATTTGAATCGGAGACTTTCTATACTAACTTAGTATAGACTGTCCCTGTTTGAATGCCGATTGTCTGTGGAAAAAACTCCTCCTCCAAATGTTACAAATAGGTTACCATTGGTGGCCTTGGGCTGTTTTCTGCTCTTTGGTCGGGTTGTTGTCTCTTTGACACATACCCCATTTCTATTCTCAATTTTATCAATAAATCAATCACCAAGCAACTTGATGTCAGTTTCAGAAAATTTCTTGTTTGAATACGTTTATTTTTACAAAGCATGATTATCCTTTCCAATAACAAGACATTTGTATCCATGTCATTTGCTTAGAAAACAAAGATGACTTGAAAAACTTCATAAGAACTCTAGTGGATAGTTGTCTCATTGGCAATCATACCAAATCTTCTTTTTTATATGGACTAATTCTTTCAATCTGTCTTAAATTTAGAAAGAAGAATACAGGTACTGTACTAGTGTAAAAGGTAGAGATTTTTTTTATACTATTGCAAGAGAACGAGACTTACATTGTGTGTTCTCTAATACATCTTTGGAATCTTTAGTATCCACATCTGATTTACACTGGAATCATTAAAAGATCACAATTGTTTGTTGATTCTGCAGAAATAATATTTTAACACATTTGTAATATAGTTTAAGAAAAAGATGTTTGACAACTGGTCAACCATGATCAATAAATACCTCTGCTGTCATGTTTTTTATCCAAAGGGGACCAAAAAAGATGTTTATACAGGAGCTTTCAAACAAAATATTTTAAAGTTTGTTGCTAGCTAAGTAGTTTTAAGAAAATGTTAATAACCTTTCATATAGGATCTCAGAGGTAACCATGTACCACCACTGCCACCATTGTCACCTAATCAACATTAGACAAAGACTGGTTGTAGAAGGTTTCTCTTTATTCAAAACATTTTTTTGCCCTGCCAGCAATATCATTGATTTGAAGAGGAACCTCCATTTATAATTGCTGCAAAGTTTGGTAAAAAAAAGATTGTCCAAGTAGTTTCAGAGAAGAAATAAAAACTCTAAAATTCCTTAGGGTTTCAATGTGTGCCACCAATGCTGCCATGCTTGCCAACAAATCATTATTCAAAAAAGATCATTTGTGGATAGTTTCTCATTCATCATTGTCCTAATTTTCAAAAGATTTCACCTTGTCAATTACTACTAAGAGAAGGTTTTTTAAAATTGGCCAATCAGAATACAAGATATTCCTCAGGTTGCCATGTTTATCATCATATCACATCATAATGATTTCTTGTAGAAGACCTTTGATACATTATTCCTACAAACTTTGATTAATATTGAATACTTGATTGTAAAAGAGGGACTAAAGATACCAGAGGGACAGTCAAACTCATAGATCGAAAACAAACTGACAACGCCATGGCTAAAAATAAAAAGACAAACAGAAAAATAATAATACAGATGACACAACATAGAAAACTAAAGACTAAGCAACACGAACCATACCAAAAACGGGGTGATCTCAGGTAAAGGATAGATGACCAAGGGGAAAAGTAAAAAGACGACAACAAATATCAACTGATGACAATCATGATAGCTCACGTTGCCTTTAAGACCAGGTGAGCATAAAAAAGATATCTGTGTAGTTGTGTCTTAAATTTAAAGAGATAAATTTGTGTAGTTAATGTGATGAGAAGAAAAAGACACAATAATTTAATTTCGTGCTCGTAATTTTTTTTAAATATAAGCATATGTTGGTCTCTGTTGGATAGTTGTCTCATCAGCAATGATACAACATCTCCATATTTTTATAATACTAAAGATTAACAATTCTAAAACAAGTTAGTTTAGGGAAGACATTTTTTATTGTGTCAAATTTATTACAATGCTCAAGGTCATTGGTTGATGCAACAAAAACTATAACAGTTACAGAACAAATAACATACATGTAGCCATGAATAATATAGACATGTAAATGGGTCAGATTATAAATAACTTTAACTGTTTAAATTAATTTCTAGTCTAAATCTTGAGAAATTAAAGTAATGTTTTTATGACTTGAAAAAATGCATCATTCAAGGTTCTGACTACATCATGAATCAAACCAAAATTTAAGTTACAAACTTTTGCAACATTAAAATTCTTTCTTTTGATATTCACAATGTCTTTTAACGATTCAATATAAAATGTACATGCTGAAATCTTGTATACAAAAATAAAATAAAAAATCAAGTAGAAATACATGTATTAATACATTTTCAAATAGCTATGTCTAAGTTCAGTTGAATTAAAATATTACAATAATACGGTGAAAATATAACTTAGTGCTATGACATTACATCCTTGATTTGATTTTATATAAAGAATATTGCTAGACATGAAATTAAATGGAAAATACATAGTCAAATCTTGAAAAATTAAGAATCAAACATATGATCCTTCTAATTAAATAAGAGCTCATCCATAGTTATGGGGCTCCTTTAGGGTACCTCCTTAGGTCACTTTTAAAAATTGCCTCAGTTCATCAGGTCACTTTTTAACAAATTTGACAGGTTTAAGTTGAACAATAAATCTGTGTTAAAGGTCACAGGTCCTTTTAAATAAGATGTTGGATCACATGGTCACCAGCAAAAACTTATGTCACAGGTCAGATTTGACTATGTTGGAGCCACAATTATATAACTTGTCTGCTTGGAATTGAGTGTTTTTTTTCAAATGCTCTTCTGCTCTAAATATTCTGATGTTAAAATCAGTGAGTGGTCTCGTAATAGCTGTCTCTGCTCAGCTTAAGCAAGCAGCATTTAAAAGTTAATTTAAAAAAATGGTTGCCTAGGAGGGAAAGAAAATCTTGCAAAGGTGACACGTCCTGAGACTTGTTGACAGTTACCTTTTGAGCTGGTATGTTAAAAAAGTCAACCACATTAGTCTCTAACACAAAGCATATTATATTCATACGAAAGTAACGAGATTGACATGTTGTTGTTCTGCATGAGCATACCATATTCGAATCTTGTTATTACAACATTCAATCAATTAGCTAAACAAGTTAAATGTTATGTACATTCTTAAGGGAATTAAATAAAAGGAATGCTTTGTGTGTTACTTGTTATAAAAAAATATTACCGGCTACGGATGATCATTTTATAGGTAAAAATGTTATAAATTTGCTATTTTTGATTATATTTTCAGATTTACTACTGATTCAATGATTCAAAATTAAACATAAGGAAGGGAGATAATCAACATTCACAAAATCAACCAGGTTTGAGACAGTAACTTTTCCAGCTGATCAAAACTTAATCTTAGTTGAAATGCCTTTATAAAATGACTTGGTTTGAATGAATGCTAGAGAAATTCAGTCTTGTTGTTTACTCAGCTAGTGTGTAACTTTTGGCTTTTTAACCTACACACCTTCATGATTCATTGGATTACAATGAATCATTCATTGGTATACAATGAATCATTCATTGGTATACAATGAATCATGAGTTACATGTAGCAAAAGACATATAAAGCACTATTTGTAGAAGGTATATTAAAAGACTACAGAGATACATAAAGTCAGACAAAACAAATTGATATTTAAACTGTGTAAAACATAAAACAAATCCCTTTGTGTGTCCCACTATGTCTTGGAAAGTGCTTATTTCTATGAATTTTTGTATCCAGCTGGCAATTAGCAAGAGTGAGAAATGCATTTTTGTTTTTGTTTAATTATAAATATTTATTCACCTTCATACAGGAATTTCATAATCACCATAAGTAATTTTAAAATTTTGATTAGCAAATTTTTCAGCACAAATTCAATGACATCACAAAATGGTTCATCTTTTGAAAATAAAACAATTTCACAATTTCACAATAGCCACATAATGTATTGTATCGAACAAAAACAATTTCTAATTCCTGAGAAAAGTGGAACACACATTAGGATTCCATATGTCTGACAAAGAAATGGAAACAGAATAATACTTTAATTATATATGTGTCAAGAGGAGATAATTAATTTTTTTTTAGCTTGACTTTTTATCTCCCTTATAAAACTTCAAGGGAAGACAAATTTCAACTGACTCAACATAACAATAAATTAAATAATAAATACATGATTAAGAAGAACCTATCTAACCTACTGTATCACAGTTTTATTTCGACTAGAACTACATTATGATAAGTTGGTCAGAAAGATGTCGAGGTCAACCTAAGATCAGCAAATATTACATATAACATTATATATTTTTCTGTAAAAACCAGCCCCTAATCACATGAACATTAGTACAGTAATCTGACTGCATTTTATGGTACATACTTTATTATCTAAAAGATGATTAAACATTTCTCTGAGATGTCATATTGAAACCTTATGATTTACTTCAGATAACTGTTGAGGATTGCAATGCAAGTCTACAGCCCTCTAAGGACAATAATTTGACCAATAGACCATACATTTACTAGTAAACAAAAATTAATATAAATTCTGTTTCAAGTTCACTTTCAAACTGAACATTGAAACAATATATATGTGCCTTTCTGAGAAAAATGATTACATCTATAAATGCAACAGCCATGATTAAATTTATATCTGTACACTTTATGCTAGACATAGAACGCAGTGATTGAAATTTTCACAATAAATGATCGTTCTTGGTTTCCTATAAATGCATTATCTACAAAAAATGTATTTTTCAACATTGAGTTAACCTTCACAGGTCTCTTAAACTTAATGATGATAATAATAATTAACAATTTCTAAGGTCATACAAGATACTTTTTACCTTCTATGGGCAATTTACAACGTAGACGTGGCTCTTTCATTAATTTCTTGCCAGAAAGTATATTAGAAATATAAAATTTGACCAAGCTTGACAAATTGTGTCAATTATAACTGATTGTATGAAAAGTGAAAATGGTTCACAAGGCAGGTTTTAAGTAGAAAAGGGGTAAAGATCTGGCTAGAAATTTCTTCTTGTACATTTGTTGTCAGTATGTTTTTAACATGAATGTCTGTTATCAGCTTGTTGAGGTATTCTGTGGTCGTCCTGTCGAAGTACTCTGTGGTCGTCCTGGAGACGAGGATCGTAAATGCTTGGATAGTAAGGCATCAATCATAACATAATGTCCTTTCTGTTAAAATAAAAAATATATCATTGTTTTAAAAAATGATGACAGATCACATAGATAAGGAAAGGGAAACTAATATGTTAAACCCTGTTGCATTTTGCACCGTTTCCAAGTCAGGAACCTCTAGCCTTTGTTCGTCTTGTGTATTTAAAATTTTTTTGGATCATTTGAATGTTTCAGAGTTTAGTGTGGCATCCATTTTGCTGAGCTAGTATACATTAATGTGTAGGGGCCAGTTGAAGCCCGCCTCCAGGTGTGGGATTTTCTCGATGGGTTGAAGACCCATTGGTGGCCTTGTGCTGTTTTCTGCTCTTTGTTCAGGTTGTTGTCTTTTTGACACATTCCCCATTTCCATTCTCTATTCTAATCATTAAATACAAGAGATTCCAATTTAAATTCTAGGAATGAACTGCCCCAGTTGTCATTTTTGGGAAAATGTGATATACAACACTGTGACGTAAAGATATTTGCTTTGTAATGTCAAATTTTTTTCCAGAAATAAAAACACCCATTGGAAGATTATGTATTCAAGTCGTAATAAATTTGTTTAATTCGACATGTCAAATGTTTGAGGTAGATGATAAAAATTGGATTTTTTAGTTTCTGAAAGTCGTATACAAATCTCCTATGTTATGGTTATATGCCTTAGTTTAGAATTCTGTCAAATCTTAAAATCTGGAGTGGATTCACTTGGGCCTAAAGTGAAACTATTGCTTGCAATTTTTAGATAAATAGTTTACAATTCACTATTTTGCAACGGTCAATTTTTATTAGAGGAGAGAGAACCACGACCTTCAGTAGGAAATCTGACAATCCTAGAAAATTGCCCAATGAAACATGAAAATGAGGTCAAGGTCAGATGAAACCTGCCAGACGGACATGTACACCTGACAATCATTCTATACACCAAATATAGTGGCCCTATTGCTTATAGTATCTAAGAAATAGACCAAACCACAAAACTAAATATTGTCCAATGAAACATGAAATTATGGTCAAAGTCAGATGAAACCTGTCAGTCGGACATGTACACCAAATGTAGTTGACATATTACTTATAGTATCTGAGATACAGACTTGACACGTAATTTCAACCTTGATCACTGATCCATGGAATAAGGTTGAGGTCAGGTGAACCCTATCTGACTGACCTGTAGATGTTGCAAGGAACCCATATACCAAATATAGTTATCCAATAACTCATAATTAGCTAGTATTTCACTTAACAAAAAAACTGTAATTTTTTTTCAAGCAGTCACTGAACCATGAAAATGAGGTCAAGGACAATGGAAAAATGACAGATGGAAACTTTGTAACATAAAGTATCTGCATATGAGGTATGAAGCATCTAGGTCTTCTACCTTCTGAAATATAAAGCTTTAAAGAAATAGTTTACACCGATGCTGCTGCTGGATTGTAATACTATGTCTCAAATACTGCACCTTTTCGTCGTAGGCGAGACAAAATGGAGAATGTATCCATGGGACACAGATGATGCCCCCGCTTGCATATAACGTTATAAAGGGGCATAACTCCAGAACCGTAAAAAAAAACACCAACCAAATTCAAACTTGATCTGAGTTTTGCGGTAATAACATTGTGTATAAGTTTCATAACATTTGGAGAAGGCAAACTAAAGTTAACGGAAACCAATTTCAGGACGTACATACAGATGGACAAGGGGAAACCTTAATGCCCCCTATGGTACGGCGGGGGCATAAAAAAAAAAATAATATACTTGACCTGAACATTCAGTACTGATGTGACATCACACAGCTTGAAGAATTTGCCCAGATCTGGTGGTGTATACATGTATCTCTTCCCATTATACATTCCATCTGTGCTACCAGCTAAAATACATAAAGAAAGCAAGTCTACAAACAATGGCAAATTAAATTAAAAATGTTAGCTTTTTCAAAAAAAGCTTTATGGACTTAAAAAAAATAGAAAAACATGTTACACAGCTGAAAGAAGTGCAACATGTACACTATAATGCTGTTAAAAAGGCATTGCAATTAAGAATTATATGAACAATTAAGTTCAGGGTATAACTTAATCTAGACAAAAGATACATAAAACAATAACAAACTTACAGAACCTTTTTTGCCTGTCCCAAATCCTCAAGTTAATTTCAAAAACAAAATTTTCTGTAATCAGTGTATTTAAGGATGAAACTCTATAAAAGTAAACAAAACTTCCTGTGATGTTATCAGGTTATTTTTGTTTGACAGCCAGGTTTGTCCATTTTATTTAACAAGCTTAAGTTTTTGAAGCATGTTATTCATGTTAAAAGATTGCTGTCTCATTAACGGATACTACACATCTCCTTTTGATTATGTTTCAATACACAGTTAATTTCCTCCGTTCCAAAAAATACATAAATAAACTGTTAACACAGAGATATGTCTCGCCTATTTGTTATTTTGATAATGCAAATGTTGAAATTAAAATAGCAATACTTTAACATGTTAGTTATGCAAATATTCAAAGTCAATTCAATGAACCATGACTGAAGGTACAAGGCTAAACAATCTCCATGGAAATGAGATGTGCCAATGCTAATACAACTGCATACCAAATACCATTGACTTTCGTTCCCTTTAAACAAACCTAAACACAAACATTAACTTGTAAACTATGTAAAAGTTTCAAAGTCAATGAACCATAATGAGGGGGTGGGGTTATATAATTTCCATGGAAATGAAACTTATAGGCATTTGCATACCAAATATCATTGACTTAACATTAATGGTTCATCTTAAAGTGACCTAATCACAAACTAATACATGTAAATTAAGCAAAAGTTTTAAAGTCAATAGACCACGACTGAGGGTAAGGACCAAATATTCTCCATGGAAATGAGATGTGCTAATGCTTATTCAACTGCATACCAATTATCATTGACCTACCACTAACGGTTCCCCTTAAACTGACCTTATTAAAAAAATAATACATGAAAAATATGCGAAAGTTTCAAAGTCAATAGACCATGACTGAGGGGATGGGGCCAAATAATCTTCATGGTAATGAGATATGCCAATGCTAATACAACTGCATACCAAATATCATTGACCTACCACTAGTGGTTCACCATAAACTAGACCTAATCACAAACTAATACATTGTTGAGGCCGCCGCCACCAGAAACAGCATACCTATATCTCGCTTTCCTTTAAATTGCAATAACAAATGCATGCAAAAATTTCTAAATTTTAAGTATTGAAGGTAACAGGTACGTAAATGGATGATCTCACGGAATTTTATGAAATTTTGCATACAACTAGTGCATGAGGAACTGCACAAGAACATCAAAAATTATATATAACTTTTATACTTTCTGAGGTATAGCAAATAACTTATCCGGAAAATTGTAGATTGAATCTATAGAATACATGTAAATATTGTAAAAAAGTATAGCAATATTGACTTAAAATTAACATTTAGTTTTTTTAGTATGAAAAGTTGAATCATCTGTACGGCGTGGAAAGAGCTGATAAGCCAAAAAAAATCGTGACATCGTGGTTAGAAATCTAATTTTTCAACGTTTTTACATATTATAGACACTTGAATGATTTATACAGCAAAAACAAATTCAGTGACCCCCTATAACTTTCATATCAACAAAACAGAAACTTTAGTGGCAATAACGTATCAATTTTTCAATATTTACGTGCATCCTATACATTTTTACTTCTTTCTTCAGATCTAGATCATTCTAAATGCTATATATCCAAATGTATAAAAGTTACTTACATATTTTTTTTTACAATTCACATGCAGTTCCACATGCTTTAATTGCTTGCAAAATTTCATAAAAATCTGCCAGATTGTCTATTTATATACCTGTTACCTTAAAAAGATTCATGATGTTTACACTTGACATCTGGGAACAAGTTGAACAGGGATGAATTAACAACATATGAATTGATGACACAGAATTTAAAAACTCAATTCATTTTTTTGTACTTCCTGAAAGTAGTAAAAATATTGACCTCGCTGCACATATTTTTGGTATGAACTGCTTTTTGATTCATTCAAAGTGTATAATGGTCAAATTTTGTTCAACCCACAAAACAAACAAAAAGAGGCATATAATTAAATAAAATAATTAGAAATTCATTTCTCAGATTGGATTATCAGAGCACACTGCAGATACAATCACATGCAAAAACTGCCTAATTAAATACACGTTTTCATCAAAACAATTCTACCATGGTCATTTGTAGACATACCTGGAGCATCCAATCTTACTCCAACATAAACTCTCTTAGAATAATCATGTCTATCCAGCACCCCAACATATTTTACAATGCCTGTATACACCTTTGGTTTTGGAGCTGAAAAAAAGATTAAAAATAAATTCTTATCTCCCTTCTTGCATTTAATTTCGTAAGTTTTACATCAATACCTTCTATTAACTTTTAGATTTTTTTCAAAATGGCATTCCCCTCTCTTTTTTAGAATCTTTTTTTGAATTATTTTACACTAGTCATTTTGGGGCCCTTTATAGCTTGCTGTTCTGTGTGAGCCAAGGCTCCATGTTGAAGGCTGTACTTTGACCTATAATTGTTTGCTTTTAATACATTGTGACTTGGATGGAGAGTTGTCTCATTGGCAATCATACCACATCTTCTTATTTAAATTAGCTCCTAAATGTATTAGTGTATGAAATAAGGAGATGTGGTATGATTGCCAATGAGACATCTATCCACCAAATGATGAAGATGTAGTATACTGACCAAGATGTAGTATACATGTATCTGTGATTTCTAAAGTATTAAGATAGAGAGACATTTGAAGGCAATTGTATAAGCAGCACTTTTTGAGATTGGGTCTAGAACATATTTTGGAATTACTTACATAAAATAAATTTGTTGGTGTATAGGCTTGTTTAAGCATTCCTGAAGAATTTTAATCCAGAAAAGCAAATTAGGACTATAAAATTATGAATTTTAGAATATATTATCTCCTGTACATCAGTATGATGATTTTAATGGGGCAAAAACTATTGATTATCTCCCTTTCCTCAGTGTCAATAAAATTTCCTCTACCATTTAGCATTTGATCTAATGATAATTTCTGCAATACTGTTAATGGAAAATTTTTGCAGTAGACATTTTACCTTAAAATTTACCAAATGTGAACATTTCATCTTGATTTAAATGCATTGTACAAGGCTATGAAATGCAAACAATGAACACAATGTAGATTTAAGGATTGATTGATTGATTGATTGTTGGTGTTTTAACGCCACTTTTAAGAGCCACATTTGGGCTATTTCTTGGCGGCCAGTTTTTATTGGTGGAGGAAGCCGGAGTGCCCAGAGAAAACCACTGACCTTCGATAGGAAAACTGACAATCCTAGTCAATTAAGATTGGAGTCGAGTGCACCCGCACGAGCAGGGTTCGAACTCACAACCTCAGTGTTGACTGGTTAAGTGATTACAGTAGTAGAACTACTTAGACCACTTGGCCACTGAGGCCCCTAGATTTAAGGATGTTTGCTCCTCTGTTTCAAAATAACAAACTTTTTTAAAGACTGTTATAAATTGATAGAATGTTATAAATTGATAGAATATAAATAAAGGAACTTAAAAATTAGAAAAAAATCATACGTCCGTGTCCTTGATTTGAGATATAATCAATTGAAAATTTGGCAGGAAATGATTCCCTCTAGATTTTTCATACATTTAACATTGGCAACTTTTTTCTTTCAAAAACAATGAAAAAATAACAAGGATTTCATAAGATTTAAAAAAATGGAGTTTTAGACAATTTATTATAAAATTATGAAAAGATAAGTAAGGGTTAGCTGACAAAATTTTTATTGGCACTACACAGATAAAAGTAGAGAATCCAGAATATCTAAAAAAAAAAGTCAAAAAGAAGAGTAGCGAACATCCTTAACTGCCCATCTTAGGACACAAACAAATACCAAGAAAATAACCCAATATAGGGTATAACATGCTGCTTGTGAATGATTTTGATTCAGACTTACTGATTTTTCTGCCATATTTTGGAGGTTTCTGAGGTACAGTGATAACTATACGACTTCCAAGCTTGACATACTGTTTTAAAATTTCATCTTTTTCCTTTCCTGGCATTTTAGATCTAAATAACGGTATTTCATCTAAATCCTCAGATTCAGACCCAGAATCAACAGTATCACTAAAAGAATGTCGCACCCATGCAGATGATGACCGTGAAGATCCACGGTCCACAAATCCTGAATCTTGATGTCCATTTTCTTTCACATTTATTTTATATTCCACTAAAGGTTGAAATTTTGAACTAATTTTTTTGTCTCCTTGTGATCTAGGGGAAAGAGGAGTCTGTTTCCTAAAATGTATATGTTCATTTTGACTGGATGATCTAGTCCCTGAAGTTTTTTGTAAATATGTTGGTGGCTCCTTATATGATGAAGTCCTTCTAATGTTTGGATGAACAATAGCGGTTTTTGGACGTAAATCTTCACAGCTTCCTGTGTCATTATTAACTTGATCTAATATTGAATTCCTTGATGGTGGCGTCCCAGAATTCCTTGTATCGTAAACGGTTGGTGTTGAATTTATGTGTATCTCCTTGGTCTATAAAAAATCAAATTTTTGGTATTAAATTAATTCTTTTTAGTCTAATAAAATCACTGACAGATAAAAAAAAAAGAAAATCAGAGTTGATAAATTTTTTATCAATTCCCTGTCTCAAAGTAATAAAATGCTATCATAAAAGTGTCTGTTAAGAAAATCCATTGTGTGGGCTTCTTACAATAACTTGATGGTTCTTTAATTTGTACAAATTTGTTCAAATATTACATTTAATGACAAGTTATTACTAAATGAACTAATTAATGTTAGTACTGATATTGGACTCATTATACAGTTGTTCCTTGACTTCCTAATTTGCACATAGATTTGAATTTAATTTGGAAATCTGACTTAGTCAAGAAACCATTTGTTTATTTCCAAATTAAATTTTTACACACGAAACCAATGTTTTATTTCAATACAAAACTAACCAAAGAAACCAGTTGTTTATTTTCTAAATTCATTACCAGAGAAAGTAGTCTGTGTTTTATCAAATTGACATGAAAAGCCATTCTTTAATCAATCTTGAACGAGAAGCTCATGTTTAATCAAAGTAACAAAAAAAAGCCAGTTTTTTTTTTAACAAACAAATATTAAAAGCAAGTTATATTTAATTTACATGAGTCCATGGTTTATCAAATGTACATGAGAAGCAAATTGTTTATACTAACTTACATGAGAAGACAGTGCTTTATCAAATGTACATGAGAAGCAAATTATTTGTAAAACTTTCTGAAGACAGTGGTTTATCAAATATACATAAGAAGCAAATCATTTATACAACTTACAAGAGAAGACAGTGCTTTATCAAATATACATGAGGAGGAAATTGTTTATATTAACTAACATGAGAAGACAGTGCTTTATCAAATGAACATGAGAAGCAAATTGTTTGTAAAACTTTCTGAATTAAGACAGTGCTTTATCAAATGTACATGAGGAGCAAATTGTTTATATTAACTAACATGAGAAGACAATGCTTTATCAAATGTACATGAGAAGCAAATTGTTTATACTTACTTACATGAGAAGACAGTGCTTTATCAAATGTACAAGAGAAACAAATTGTTTGTAAAACTTTCTAAAGACAGTGGTTTATCAAATATACATGAGAAGCAAATCAATTTATATAACTTACATGAGAAGACAGTGGTTTATTTCTGTGATGTACAGCAGCTATAGATCTACCGAACTGACTTTCTGTGTCTTCTGACCAAGAATCACTGTCAAAAGAAAGAAAGAAAGATAACTCTGTCATATTAAAGTCAGTACAACCACGATAAAATAAAAGAACAGAGTTCCAATGTCCCCTGCGTTGCACATATTTTATCTATCCAGGGGCAATAACTAAAAAAACCACTTCTTTTTGTTGTTCTTTAAAACAATTTAGAAACAAGTAAAACTGTGAGCTACTGCTCACTGATGATACCCCCGCCGAAATATTTCGGTAAACAGGAAGTTGTTGAGTGATGAATCTGAAAACGCATCACACGGTGTAATTACTTATATAAACCCTGAAACCAAATTTCAGATATCCTTGTCAAGTAGTTCCTGAGAAAAACGTGACAAAATTTTTCAACTTGGCTATCATGTATAAAATAATACAAGTGTTCGATAAACAGGAAGTTGTTAAGTGATGAATCTGAAAACGCATCACACTGTGTAACTTACTTATATAAACCCTGAAACCAAATTAAAAAAATCCTTGTCAAGTAGTTCCTGAGAAAAATGTGACGAAAATTTTCAATTTGGCTATCATGTGTAAAATAATACAAATGTTCGGTAAACAGGAAGTTGATGAGTGATGAATCTGAAAACGCATCACACGGTGTAACTTACTTATTTAAACCCTGAAACCAAATTTCAGAAATCTTTGTCGAGTAGTTCCTGAGAAAAATGCGACGAAAATATTCATGGGACGGACGGACTGACGGATGGCGGGGGTATAATAAAAAGTGTGCGCGGGGGGACAAAATTTTTTTTATTACTGATATTAACCTATAGTATAAGTTATATAAAAATCTAGCAAGAATTGTACCCATGAGAGCACTAACGAGGCCATTTTCCATAAATTTAATATTTCCAAGGGGCATAACTCTTTTAAAAAAAGTCGATCGGCCACCATTATAGAACTTGTCGGAGATATTGCTGATATTAACCTATAGTATAAGTTTTATAAAATCTGGCAAGAATTGTACCAGTGAGAGCGCTAATGTGGCCATTTTCCAAAAATTTAATATTTCTAAGGGGCATAACTATTTTAAAAAAAGTCCACCATTGTAGAACTTGTCCAAGATATTGCTGATATTAACCTATAGTATAAGTTTTATAAAAATCTGGCAAGAATTGTACCATTTTCGTGGATACTTGATTTAATGGTTTTTGCCAAAGTCTCCATACAAGCCTACAGAAAATTGATACAACATTGATCATTTCAATTCTTTGTTCACCTATACCCACGAAATCCCTGAAAATTGGTATCCCATGAATTATTATGAATCCACAGTACTATATTATACTTACTTAAGGTTAGGTTTAGTAGAACCAATTTTTTTAAGAAGCCCAGCAATCCTATCTAGTTTATCATGTTCTTTAGAATTTTTCATTGTAGAGATGACATCCTGAAAATATGAAAAAATATTTTTACATGGTACATTCCAAAGTTTCCAATCATAAATCATAACATTAATTATTCAATTGCCATAAAGAAATAATTGTTCAATTCTCATGTAATTTCTGTTCCCTCATGACTGCAGTCACTTATTCATCTGTAAATACAGTACAGTTCATAAAAATATTTAAAATAGGTCCCAATTGTGGTGATTTCAGAACCAATATTGACACTGTCATGGGGTATTTATCATAATATTGATAAATATTGTCCAATCAGGAACTAAGCTAAATTAATATTTTTCTTTTTTTCAGGTATCCAATTGACTCTTCAACATTAAAATTTATGATTAAAACCTGTACTTTCAACAGATCTAAGACTTTAAGATAGTTAAGTGCACTATTCCAATTAGTGATTTCTCCTTTACTATAAATCTCATATCATTGCACTTACTTTATTTTGCAAAAATGGCCATCACCAAACTTTATTTTTTTATTTTTCAAGAAACTTTTCTATTTGTTTAATTGAAATTTCTTTTTTTACCTCCATGCAAATCAACTTTCTACTGATCAATGACTGCAAAACATATTGTATGGTTTTATAGAAAAATTTCATAATGTAAAGAAGTTTTTTCCGGTTATTATGTATACCTTTGCCAAGTCTAATGCTTTAGATTTCTGAACAACCAAGCAATCCTTTCCTAACATGATCCTTTTTAATGCCACATTCTCATTATGAGCTATAACTATATCTTCTCTTAATTTTTCTGTTTGTTCCACATCTTGTTCTACATCCTGAAAATCACAAACGAAATAAAAAACATCACAAATCATTTTTAATATGATGATTTGATTTAATAAATATTATATTAATTTAAAAAAATCTTAATCAATGCCATTGTCACTAACCCTAATTTTTTCAGTGCATTCTCGCAAAGCCTTCCTTGCATCTGTTGCCATTTAAACTTACCCATAACTTATTATCCTTTGCATTCACAAACAGCAATGTGCTTACCCTAAGATTATCTTTGAATTCTATGGAAACCATCCACAGTTACCTTGATTTAATCCACAGCCTTCATAGGAATTCTCAAAAAAAAAATTTCGCTGGTGGTCTTTGGAAAAAAATCTACTGGTACTCACTAACATTTCTATTGCAAAATACCAAAATTGTGTCTGTTCTTTGCAAAATTTGGTGGTCAAAACCTTCGAAACCGCCACTTTTCAAGAACTCTTCCTCCAGAGCCATGGAATCCAATGTCATTCATCCTGAGCTTTGTATTCTTTCATCAGCCATCCTAGCAGCTAATGTCATTAATCACTTACCCTAAGTTTATTTTTGTATTCTCCCACAGACTTCCTAGCAGCCAATGTCATAAATCACTTACCCTAAGTTTATCTTTGTATTCCCTCACAGACTTCCTAGCAGCCAATGTCATTAATCACTTACCCTAAGTTTATCTTTGTATTCCCCCACAGCCTTCCTAGCAGCCAATGTCATTAATCACTTACCCTAAATTTATCTTTGTATTCTCCCACAGCCTTCCTAGCAACCAATGTCACTAATCACTTACCCTAAGTTTATCTTTGTATTCTCCCACAGCCTTCCTAGCAGCCAATGTCATTAATCACTTACCCTAAGTTTATCTTTGTATTCTCCAACAGCCTTCCTAGCAGCCAATGTCATTAATCACTTACCCTAAGTTTATCATTGTATTCTCTAACAGCCTTCCTAGCAGCCAATGTCATTAATCACTTACCCTAAGTTTATCTTTGTATTCCCCCACAGCCTTCCTAGCAGCCAATGTCATTTATCACTTACCCTAAGTTTATCTTTGTATTCCCCCACAGCCTTACTAGCAGGCGATGTCATTAATCACTTACCCTAAGTTTATCTTTGTATTCTCTAACAGCCTTCCTAGCAGCCAATGTCATTAATCACTTACCCTAAGTTTATCTTTGTATTCCCCCACAGCCTTCCTAGCAGCCAATGTCATTTATCACTTACCCTAAGTTTATCTTTGTATTCCCCCACAGCCTTCCTAGCAGCCAATGTCATTAATCACTTACCCTAAGTTTATTTTTGTATTCCCCAACAGCCTTCCTAGCAGCCAATGTCATTAATCACTTACCCTAAGTTTATCTTTGTATTCTCTAACAGCCTTCCTAGCAGCCAATGTCATTAATCACTTACCCTAAGTTTATCTTTGTATTCTCCCACAGCCTTCCTAGCAGCCAATGTCATTAATCACTTACCCTAAGTTTATCTTTGTATTCTCCCACAGCCTTCCTAGCAGCCAATGTCATTAATCACTTACCCTAAGTTTATCTTTGTATTCTCTAACAGCCTTCCTAGCAGCCAATGTCATTAATCACTTACCCTAAGTTTATCTTTGTATTCTCCCACAGCCTTCCTAGCAGCCAATGTCATTAATCACTTACCCTAAGTTTATCTTTGTATTCTCCCACAGCCTTCCTAGCAGCCAATGTCATTAATCACTTACCCTAAGTTTATCTTTGTATTCCCCCACAGCCTTACTAGCAGCCAATGTCATTAATCACTTACCCTAAGTTTATCTTTGTATTCTCCCACAGTCTTCCTAGCAGCCAATGTCATTAATCACTTACCCTAAGTTTATCTTTGTATTCTCCCACAGCCTTCCTAGCAGGCGATGTCATTAATCACTTACCCTAAGTTTATCTTTGTATTCTCCCACAGCCTTCCTAGCAGCCAATGTCATTAATCACTTACCCTAAGTTTATCATTGTATTCTCTAACAGCCTTCCTAGCAGCCAATGTCATTAATCACTTACCCTAAGTTTATCTTTGTATTCTCCCACAGCCTTCCTAGCTGCCACCAGTAAAGCTGTCTTCTCATTGGATTCCTGTTTGTAAGCATCTATTTCTTCCTTCAGTTCCTTTATTTCATCTTTTAACCTTGGTATTGTTTCTAAGTTCTGAAGAAAAGTTTGTATTCAATTTATTAAAACCTGATTATGAAAACTTTGTTGTACTCCCTTCAAACCTTAATACCTAAATATTTTTAACAAATGATTTTAGCACTGTTCCTTTGCTTTTCATGTGCACAAAGTGATTTGTGTCATGAATTGATACAACATATCCTTTTTCCTTTAAAAAATGCAGGTAAATCTTTGAACACTGTTGAGGGGGCCTCGGTGGACAAGTGGTCTAAGGAGTCATAATTCTGTATCACTAGCCTGCCAACACTCAGATTGTGAGTTTGAACCCCACACGTGGTAGGTGCATTCGATTTCAATCTTGATTGACTAGGATTGTCAGATTTCCTGCCGACGGTTGATTATTCTCTCCGGGCAATCTGGCTGCCTCCACAATTAACAACTGACTGCCATGAAATAGCTAATAGTGCTGATAGTGGCTTTAAACACCAATCAATCAATCAAATGAAGACTGTTCATGGATTTCCCCATGTTTTTTCTGATTTTTTTGGTGTTGTAAGGATTCATTGATTGTATATATACACTGAATATTTTTTTTGTAAGTAGCAATTTGGTAAAATTTCTCAAATTCTGAAGATTTCATACTTTTTAAGATCACTGACAGACCAGGATGTAAAAATCTAAAGAATATCTTTGGTAAGACTCCGACTCCCTTTTTTCAAAGAGGCAAAACTTAATTAAATTACTTCGGTAAATTTCCAGTTTCCTCAGTAAACTTCAAATATAAAATTTTGTAGGGCATAGTTGTCTAAAGCCAATCAGTAAATTCACTTACCTCTTCAAATCAACCCCTATTGTTTCTAAATATAAAGCACACATAGATTCCCTTAAGTGTCTTGGAAAGGAGAAAAAGGTCTGGATGCATGTATAGGTCATAAGATGGCTTAACAGCCATCTGCTCCCAAAACAGATTATGTTAATAATGAATAAATATATTGTAGTACTGTATTAGGGTGTGTATAATACACACTTTCCCCCCAAGACATATAATTGATAGTCAGAGAGGATGCATATTATACACAACTGTAAACTCTACAGACGTTTTTTTTTATAAATAATATAATGGGTTTTTTTCATTACTGTATATATTCAAAGAGTTTTTTTATATTCAAATTTTTTTATTTTCATAAATGATGATTTTTTTTTTTTGTGATATTCAAAACTCTAAAATTTATAGTCTCTAATATCACCTTTATTTTTAAAATGGGTGCATGGTCATTTCCAATTCTTGAAGGGCTGTTAAAGACATTGATATTACAATTCCAGTGGGTGGTTGGAAAATTAATCAAATTTTCAAAACTATAAACTGAAAATTGTCTTAATCTTGAGTAATTTAGAGAATGAAATGTATTATAAACACATGTCTATTGTAAAAGATTATAATTTGCCATCCTAGTCCGTGTTCTTTTTGTTGATATGTTTTTGGGTTGCTGGCCCATTGTCATATATGCCACATTTCCATTTATTTGTATTCTAATTGTCATTAAATCGATTTTGGAACAGGCCAGAGAAAAATTCATGCAGTTTCTATAACTGGAGTTATTGCATGTACAATATGGCTAAGTTTAGAAACATAATTGTTTTCTTGACTATAACATTTATCGCTACATTTGAATCAAGTACAATGAAATAGTTTTAATGTGCAATTTTAAAAAAACTGGACCACAAAACGCATTTCCTTTCCATCATAGAGCAATAAATGAACAATTAAATAAATGAGAATGGAATATATAGATTGAGGCATGCTAGTATAACATCAAATACACATTCAGTTAGAAACACTTTTTGTTTCTTTAATTGGCTGCAATTAAGGTACATTACATAGCAGGTGTCAAGGGCTCTTCTCAACAACAGAAAAGTTTAAAAAATCTTAAAAGTATTTTTAACCATTAGAAATATGTGTGCATAATGATACAGAAATGTTTTATGACAGATACATATTTTTTTTTAATTGACAGAAATATAATTAGGAATCTTCACCTAACTACACATTCATATAAAGAGACTTCAATAAAACATTTTATCTCAATTTTAGTTCTTTCAGTTTATTTGATATTACAAGCTGAAAATTATTCAATTACTTTCTGTTATTTTCTATGATCTAAAAAACTATATTCATAATGTGTTAATAAACCAGTTCTGAATATCAAAGATGTTTTCAGCAACAATAGACAAAAGTTTAAACAGAAATCTAACATTTATACAAGTGAAAACCTATAAGTAGTGTATTAGGTGTCACATCTTCATATAAAGTTCAAAATAAAATGTTAAAACCCAAATTAAAAAAAATAAAAATTTAATTAAACCATTTTAATTTTTCTTACAAAAGCAATGATTCACAGAAGAAAACATTATATATGATTAATATTTTTGGACTGGTTCCTGGTGTTTATTGATTCTTTACATGTCAATAATGTCACCCAGCTGTAAAATTTAATGGCTTTTTAAAGATTACATTTTACATCTCCATTTAAAGATTTAATGTGCTCTGATCTATATCACTATGTATCAGATCAACTGGAATAATTCAACCTTTCACACATTTTGAAAATAACAACCTGACATTTAACTGAATATTATTAGATATCTAAGAGATCTGAACGTGGACCACTATTCTTTTAAGAGGTGTTGTCAGTTCTTTTATGTAGGCATAATATTCCTTTGAAATTGATATTTAAGAAAATTTTCAGTTGACAAAAAAAGTAAAAATTTGTTTTTTTATAATGTACAGGTTTTCTTTTCAAATAATTTCATATTCCTTTTTGGTATTACTTTTGGTGACCTCACTTCATGCTCTTCGTCAGTTGAAAATTCTAAATTTCAAATATTTTGTTTTGTTAATTGATTGCCATCTGCATGTAATGTTTGTCAATAAACATGAATCAGACTTAGGACAATATTTAGGTTTAGCACCACTGAATAGGCATTTTTTTTAAATGTGTATATTCTACCTAGTGTAAATTATATAAATAATATGTGTAAGCAATTAGAACTCTTCATTATTTGCTGATAACTTGATATCTTATAATTTCACTAATTACTTCGCCATCTTGTAATCTAACTGATAACTTGGGTATCTTGTAATCTAACTATAACTTGGGAATCTGGAAATCTAACTGATTACTTGAGTATCTTGTAAGCTAACTGATTACTTGGGTATCTTGTAATCTAACTGATTACTTGGGTATCTTGTAATCTAACTGATTACTTGTGTATCTTGTAATCTAACTGATTACTTGACTATCTTGTAATCTAACTGATTACTTGGGTATCTTGTAATCTAACTGATTACTTGAGTATCTAGTAATCTAACTATAACTTGGGTATCTTGAAATCTAACTGATTACTTGAGTATCTTGTAATCTAACTGATTACTTGGGTATCTTGTAATCTAACTGATTACTTGGGTATCTTGTAATCTAACTGATTACTTGGGTATCTTGTAATCTAACTGATTACTTGACTATCTTGTAATCTAACTGATTACTTGGGTATCTTGAAATCTAACTGATTACTTGACTATCTTGTAATCTAACTGATTACTTGGGTATCTTGTAATCTAACTGATTACTTGAGTATCTTGTAATCTAACTTATTAGATGGGTATCTTGTAATCTAACTGATTACTTGAGTATCTTGTAATCTAACTGCTAATTCAGTAGCTTGTAATCTAACTGATTACTTGAGTATCTTGTTATTTAACTGATTACTTGAGTATCTTGTAATCTTAATTATTACTTGGTATCTTGTAATCTAACTGATTACTTGAGTATCTTGTAATCTAACTGATTACTTGAGTATCTTGTGATCTAACTGATAACTTGAGTATCTTGTAATCTAACTGATTACTTGAGTAGCTTGTAATCTAAATAATTACTTGTGTACCTTATAATTTCACTGATTATTTATGTATTTTGTTATTTCCTTGATCACTTGAATATCATGTAATTTTACTGATTACTTGAGTAGCTTGTTATTTTACTAATAACTTGAGTATCTTGTTATTTTACTGATTACTTGAGTATCTTTCCATTTTGTTTTAAGACCAGCTTCATTGTATAGGACTGTTTTGTCAGATCTGTAAAGATTTGATCAAAATAACTCCCTTGTCAAATTCAGTATTGTAGATTTGGGACAACTTTAAAAAAGTTATGATCTGAATAAAATGTAACCAACCAACAACATTAAATATTTTACATAGACTATATTCTTGTTGTTGGATGGCTGTCACAGATTAAGTAGACTTAGCATGCAAAAGTATTTTCTGTAAAATTTAGTACTACAAACAAAAACAAAAACAGTGATGTAAGCATTATAAGATAATTCGTTTTTAACATATGTCACATCTATATATATATGAAATAGAAAAGAATGCATGTTGCCCTTTTAACATTTGAAGGCTTAAATGACTTAAAATCTTCACCAATAATTGCAATTTAGACTATGTTTACATTTGATATGAATGTTCATTTCAACCAAATGTCCTTGTATATTAAACATAGCCAAAACTTTGAATATCTAATGTTTATGGAGAGATTATTAAAGTCATTTAAACCTAAGCAGACCTTAGAATTGTAAATGTATCAATGTATTATCCTCTCAATGCTCTCCTATTTACCATGTAGTTTTAACTACAATTAAAAGGATTTCTCATTTAAAAATATTTTTATTTCATTTCAGTCAAATTGAAAATTACTTAAAATTGTTTTGTCTTCTGCAATTTGTCTACATACCATTTCCCTTAACCTAGTTGTAGAAAATGTCAAGAAATCAATATGGTGATTTTTAGCATATATATGCTTTAGTTATCAATAATTAACTTTAAAAACATGCATAGTGGGAGCCTTAGTGGCAAAGTGGTTTAAGTAGTTCATCTACAGTTTCACAAGCCTGTTAACACTAAGGTTTGGAGTTCAAACCCCACTCATGTCAAGGTGCCTTTGACTATGATCTTAATTGACTAGGGTTGCCATTTTTCCTACACTAAAAGGTTAGTGGTTCTCTACTGCTAATAAAAAATGGCTGCCATGACATAGCCATGTGCGCTTACAGTAGTATTAAGCAAAATCAATCAATCATGTTATAGCAAATTTTAGTAAGCATACAAACTTAAACATACATGTGTAAATAAGTCTCTCATAAAAATTGTAACATTGAATTATGGTACATTATTTGCTATAGATGACCTAAATTTTAGTGTCACTGGTTTGCTATAATATTGACATGTAGTCTCTTTTATTCTCTTCAATCTAACTTAACTGAACAGACTTAACAATAGGTACACATTTCCACAGACAGGAGCAACAATCTTTTAATAAGTAGAGACAATTCAAAGGTTCAAACAAGTGGCAATTACTCAAAATTTACCGTTATTTTTAGACAAAATCCTTTATGGCAAACCTCATACATAGGACCAATTTAATTCACAATACTTAACCTATACTGTGAATGATATGTAACTATAATTCATACACCTTTTCTCTGTCATTAAAATGTTGGACTTTGATACTAAATGGCACTTGATAAAGTTTCTTTAGCATTTGTATTTTTCATTAACAAGTCTTTTAATTTATTGTACACTTGGGTTTTTGTCAATTGCTAATTTATTGGTAGCTAAGAGAAAACTTGGTCCAATTACAGTTGGGGGACTACGTGAAAACCTTTAAGAGCCTTTATTACCAAAATAAGACACAGGGAAAAACTAAGAGAAATCATAAGTAAGCCAGACTAAGAAAAAATAGATGATTTTGAATACACTCGTACCTTTTCAATATTTTCGTTCCTCATTAGTTCATGTCTAACTTGATATTTCAAGTCTGTTAACTTTTCTCCCATTTCTATGATTTTATTATTGGCAGCCTGAAATAAAACATTTATAAATAGTTACTTTTGATTCCTAAATTTGTTTAACATGTTTTAATTATTTGAAGTAGTATTAATGAGTTTTCTCCCCTTTTTCTGTTGTTTATAGCCCTTTCCAGGAACTCATTTGTGGAATCATGAATTTTACTCTATAATTATAATTTAAAGCATTCCCTTGTTTGGCAGGAGAACTGTTTTACAGCAATGAAGCTCAATAAAGGGTCCATGATTAGTGGTTTTGAATTCCTGTGCATTAAAAGAACAAATTTGGAAAATATGAATGTTTTATTAGCATTCCAAAATTCTTGTCAACAAACTAGAGTATAAAGCTTGAAATAATTGTAAATTTAAGTAAAACATAGTTTTCAATTTCTTCTCACTATTGCTCTGCACTGCAGCAAACCAGTATTTATTCCAGTATACTATAGTGAACGAACATATCTTTAATTTAAATGCAATTTTTAAATCAGATTTGAATTTCAGAAGAGAGTTTATTGAAAGTGCTATAGATCAGGAGCTCTTTTCCCAAAGTTTTTTTTCTGAAATGATAATGACTTACAAGTACTTCCTCTACTAAAACAAGAGGCTCTCAAGAGCCTGAATCGCTCACATGTATTTCAGAGGAGAAGATTTTTAAATGTTAGCAAACTTGATGAACAAATTGTGTAAAATTGTCTTTAAAGGGCAATAACTCCTTAAGGGGTCAACTGACAATTATGATCATATTTACTTTTTTGTGGTCTTACTTTGCTGAACATTATTGCTGCTTACAGTTTATATATATCTATAATAATATTCAAAATAATAACAAAAAACTGCAAAATTTTGTTAAAACTACCAATTCGGTGGCAGCAACCCAACAATGGGTTGTTCGATTCGTCTGAAAATTTCAGAGCTGATAGATCTTGACCAATTGAACAATTTACCCATGTCAGATTTGCTCTAAAAGCTTTAGTTTTTGAGATATAAGCCAAAAACTGCATTTGATCCCTATGTTCTATTTTTAGCCATGGCGGCCATGTTTGTCGATGGATCAAAACTTTGGATACAATTTATAAACTAGATACCCTAAGGAACATTCAGTTAAAGTTTGAAGGTATATGGCCCAGTAGTTTCAGAGGAGAAGATTTTTTAAATTGTTAACGACAACAGACGACGGATGACGATGGACGCCAAGTGATGGCATAAGCTCACATGGGGCCCTTCAGGCCCCGGTGAGCTAAAAATGAAAACAACACTTAATAAATTTCACGCGTCTGAAGCCCTTTCTGGATTTACCTTCATCAGGAATGATCAAAGCCGAATATTTGAAAGCCAAGGATGTATAAGAACAGAAACAGTTTAAGAGCTATATAACCAAAAAGGACCTAAAATAATAGCCAAATCCATCTAAAGTCAGCTTTGCCTGAAGGAGTTGAAACTTTAGTTTCTAAAAATTTCAAAATTTTATAACAGGCAATTTTAAAAAGGTTTGTTATAAATCATGTCAGTACCAAAGTACTGACTACTGAGCTGATGATACCCTCAGGGACTGAAAGTCCACCAGCAGAGCTATCGACCCAGTGCTGTAAAAAATGAAAACAACAATTTATAAATTTCATGCGTCCAAAATGCTTTTCTGAATTTACCTTCATCAAGAACGCTCAAAGCCAAATATTTGAAAGCCAAGGATGTATAAGTAGCACTTCTTTGTGAAAAGAGTCACAAAGACAGTACATTGATCAGGCAAAGACAGTACATTGATCAGGTTATAAAGCAACTCTTGAAAATTTGAGAAAACTTTATATATAAAATATACAATTATGAAAACCTTTACCTGTAACTGTTTACATGTATCTTCATACTTTGCTGTCATCCTACGTGTATCTCCTTCACGTTGACGTACCTCTACCCTAAAATATTACAGCAATGCATTAGGTACGGATCTAAAATAGTCATAGTATCTTAAATAATAATGGTTTGCATGACTGATTAACTGTTGTTTGCTTCACATCCAGTGGGATTTTATATATGTCACTGACAACTTTGTGAAGAGACCTAAAATCTAGAATTATGGCTGAAATTGTTTCCTTCATTGCTGATATAAGTGCATATATATCAAATAAAATGAAAAAAAAAAACATGGTATCAATTTTTTTGGGGTCATATGTAATCCTATAATATAAGCCTATAGTTTTCTTTCAACGTTTTTATATCAGATATTTTTTTTTGTGGTTCAGTATTGAAAATTAAAAAAAAAATCCAATAAAAAAGAAAATGATATGGACACAGGAAGGCTTATATCATAGGACTAGGGTAATATGTTAAGAATACTTTAATGAACTTTCAACACTTGTACTATATATGTCATTGAAATTGCAATAGAATGTAAACCAATAAAATTTGTGGAAGCTTCATTTTTTATTGGTGAATATATTTTTTCTTAGAAAATTTTTAAGTAGGAGAAAATAACATACTTATTGCATTTAACAAAAAAAGATGAGAACAATTTAATTAAGAAGATCCAAAGTTAATTTCGTAAAAATAAAATGCCACCATTTCCAGGTGCACACGTACAGATTTCAAATTATTCACAATATGTTAAATGTGCAATCCAATTAAGAGCGCAATGTTTCAAACCTAAACAATGTAAACTATTATGCTCGTAGTCTTTTAATCCATTTGTTTCTTACATTTTTTGGATAACGTTGACATCGTTTACATAAACGATGTACGCGCAAAATAGTCACGCAGTTGTTGATCAATTATTGTTGAGACGTATAAACGATACGTTTGTTTCTGCATCTGTCGTTTAAATATTTATGAGCACGTGTTGTTTTCGCAAAGTTCTGGTCATTCTTTTTCCACACTTTTACCTGTTTGTTTACAGTGCGTCAATGTACGTAATCTATTTCTGTCTCACTACGCGGGGTCCATAAAGGTCATTAAGCCATGTATTTGATTCTAGCAGTTTAACGTTTAATAAACGATAGTCATCGATGACAAAATTTCGGGTTAGAAACAAATGCACTCTAAGATTACCCGGTATATTTCTGCACTAGCTCATTTTTTTTTTTATTAGAATCATTGCTTAAATAAGATATATATATATTCTTTGTATGGAAATTTTTTAAGTCAAAACCTACATTTTTATATATATTCCTACATCAAAAGATTTATTATCTTGAGTCCGTCCTACTGAAAGTTCAATAATAAAACAGTGACCAAGCAAGCATTATTACCATATGTTATGACAATGGATCACCAACAATATTGCTTATTATATTTTAGCTTAACAAGTCCTATAAAAATTCAAGTATAATTGATGTCAATCACCGAAATGATAATGTACAAACAAAGTAAATATACTACTAATCCTCAGATTTGCTTAAACAAACCACTTGTAAATATGACGTCCATAACATAAATGAAATTTACATCTAAATGTGAACAATACACCTCGGGCTCGTACTACCGAAGTATAACAAATATTAGTATGTACTCACTGAGTATATTCCAAGGTCTGTTTTGTTGTTTCTAGAATTAATTCGGCTTTCTCCACTTCAGAGGCTAAAAATGAAAAATAAACATCTGACAATTTACAAAAGATTATCTCTAAAATATTGTTCTTTGTATATTTCTGTTAGAAAATGTTTTTATTTTAAGGTTTTGTATAATTGAACAATACAAATATTTAATTGAAATATATAATTTAATATTTCTTCATCACAATTAACTAGAGTACTGTTTTTATGGTTTAAAATGCTTATGCAATTAAAGATCATATCAAACCAAAAAAGAGTTTTCTTTTAAAAAGCATGATAAGATAAGTACACTGCTGTTTGAAATTATACAAAAATCAACACCAGGAGCTGTCTCATATACTATTTTGAGATGTAGGATCTATTTCTCATTAATGATCCCTCAAGAAATGATCAAGATGGACTGCAACCAGTTACATTTTCAGAATGTAAAGTGCTTGTTTGTACATTTTGTACTCCAAAATAAAAAAATGTATCTTTGCTTTTGAAAATTTTGCCCAAAATGAATTAGATTCTGAAACAATGAATTGCTTTCCTTCATCTTGACCATTGCATGATGGATAAGCAACGGCATCTTTTCCTTTTCCATCAGATGGATTTTGACGAAAACTTCACACCAATCTTAAATGTTCTATTGGAGTAGCAGTAGGTGATGCCTTTATATATTCCCAACAATTCATTTGTATGAGTACATATAAGTCATTCAATGATGATTCATTAAAATATGCCAAACCAATTCTATTTTTGGCAACAAACCTATCATTTGCACCTGGCATGCATTCTAAATCCATTAAATTTCCATTATCTTACAACAATATGCACAATATCTACATCTGTGTTTCCCTTAAATGGTTAAGACATTGATATGGACAATACCTATATGTCTTTACCATAAGAGATTGATTTGCACAATAACCTCTGCATTAATCACACTATAAATGTTACAATAGATTTAATCAAAGTAAGATGTTATTATGCAATACTAAGCATTAATGTTCTTTTAAAAGAAAAAAAATCTGTCAATTAGATATATAAATCACCAAAAGTTTAAGAGAAAAATTTCTGAAACAGCTTTAATGGTATGATTAACAATTGTATGTTTGCATAATTTATTCTTTCATTTTGGGCATCAATAAGAATTTATCCTAAAACCTGATTTGGATTGATTTAAAAATATATATGGCAGAATAATGCATCCCACTTCAGGTGTGGGAGGTCAAGGGAGGTTAAAAAGTAAAGACTTTAAAATTGATATGTTCTCTTTCTCTGCCAAGTATTTAGAAATGCACCTTATCTTGGCGTCAGAATAATGTGTGTTAGTAGGGTAGTGTGTCATCTTGCTGACTGTTATCTAAGCTGTATTATGTTAAGGCAAGAATAGACAATAGGAAAATTGGAAACAGTGGCAAAACTTTATTATGAAGATTATATTGTCAAGTCAAATCTACAATTTTACCTCTGATTTCCAAATTTCTAATCCTATCCTCCATATATTTGACATCTCTCTGGTATTTCTCAATCTGATCTGACTTCTTTTTATTATCCTGGGAGAGTTTTTCAAACAGTTCCTGTGTCTTGATAAGTTTTTTTGTTGTATCACTCTGTCCCATGAGCATTTGATCAACTTTCTTTTGAAGTTTCTGAGAAAAAAAGTAAAGTATAAATAACTTGGTTAACAAAATATGATTGCAATTACAAATATACTGCTAAAATTATTGTCATTCACGTGCAAGTCATTTACTCAATTTTAATATTTTCTCTGACTTCATGCAGTCATCTATAATGGCGGATTCTTAAGACATATATATCTGTTTCTTTCCTATATAAATCCTAATAATCAGATCAGTCACTTTCTACAATGATCAGGTCTCCACAATTGTATACAGTGTGCTTGTTTGATAGATCTTAATAAAACCACTTTTTTTTATTCATGTAAACATTCACTGAGGATTTTTACACATTTACTGCATGATGCTAAGTTTTTTAGTTTAAAAAACAAGATTACCAAGATTTTTTAAGGAATGATGATGATGATGATCATTGATGAATTGGTGTTTAACAACCAGTGGCAAATATATCATGTATATCAGGACAGGAACATGTTAATATTATAACCCTGCATTGTTATAAACTGACAAGCTTAGTTTGATTTTAAAACTCCCTAGTACAGTCCTCTGCAAGACATCTGTGATCTTAGCTAGACACATATTCTGACCCTGAACCAACAAGTCACTGACTTCTAAACGTTACATACAGTGTGAAGATGCAGCTATACCAATTTTACAATTTTCTTGTCTTCTGTGTGACCTGGCTATTGATCCAACCCACATCCGTCCACGCAAAACTTGAGCCCACTGCCGCAAAACTATTGAGGAGGTTCAAGATTTTCAAAGTATAAGAATAATACTGCATCAAAAGTGATAGAACTTTGGTGAAGTACAAATGTAAGTGAATGAAAATTACAACAGTACAAATTATTGATTTTAATTTGATGCACAGGATTCATGGTTCTAAAATGAATTTCTTGTATGTGGTTCTTGAATCAAGATATTAGAAATCATAGTTTAAGCGTTTATCCTATATGTAAGATATTGTATCAAGAAGCTTGTTCATATCTTAAATTATGTTTATATAATTATGCTATCAAGGAATTTGGTGCTGCTTCTCAAGTTTGACGTATAAGGCTTAAGGTTAACATGTCATCATATTTTATTTGTAATACATCCTTTTTAGCAACTATATTTATAAAATGAGATGTCAGGTAAAGATATATGAGACAGCAATCCAATAACAAAAGCAGCTAAAGGACATCATTCTTTATGTGCCTGTCCCAAATCAGGAGCCTGTGGTTTAGTGGTTGTCGTTGGTTCATGTCTGTCATACTGGTTTTTCATAAATTGCTTTGTTATAAATTAGGCTGTTAGTTTTCTCAATTGAATTGTTTCATATTATTCATGTTGGGGCCTCTATGGTATGATTTTCCTCATTGTTGAAAGCCATATTATTGCCTTATAATAATTGCTTACATCCACTTCATTTGATTCTAAGTCATAAACATATATCTTGGGTGTTTCAAAGCATCATTCTTTTTTTATTTGGTGTTTCTATAAAATATTTTGGAAACTTGAGGTTACATGGTTTCTAAAGCTTGTAAACAGGAAAAAAAGGGTGAAAATAGATTGGTTAACTTCCAGTAATGGTTATTATCCTATATGCAATGAAATGTTATGTGAAATTTTGTCTGTAGTACTGGACAGTATATAAATGTACTCATGTCAAGTATTTCTTTATTTGAAACAAAGATAAAAACTGCACAATTTTTTGAAATGTGCCAATTATTTAACAAAGACTAATAGGGGAAAATCAAAGGTGGTATTACTCCTTCAACAACAAACTTTCCAACTAAATAAAAACATAAGGGTGTGACATACAACAGCTAAACATGGCCTTTTAATTATGGTGCGAGATCTGACTTCTAAAACTACCAGTACATGGACTTTCATTAAGTAGATGATAAAAAATCAGTGGCATTCGAGTAGTCAATTGTTTGAATAAACTATAGATGTGGTGATGGATCAAAGACATGTACAATCTGAATCATGGCATTAAGATGTCAACCAGCTAATTTGAACACTTGGATAACTAGGCCTCCCACAATATATCTTACGAACACGACAGTAAGATGTCAACCTGATAATTAGAACACTCAGACAAAAAGGCCTCCCACATTATAGCTTACCAAACACGACAGTAAGATGTCAACCTGCTAATTAGAACACTCAGACAACATGGCCCCCACACTATAGCTTACCAAATATGATAAGATAATATATAGACTTTAAAAATAATTTTCATGTAACTCAGTAGGGGCCAATTGGATTTTAAAGTACATCTCATAAACTACAAGAAAAAAAGATTAATTTCATATAAATCCTGTCAGACACTCCGATGTCTTAACATTTAATTAAACTGAGCTCTCAATGACAAACTTCATGAAATTGCATGTCAAAAAATAATAAATTTCCTTTGCAAGTATTAAGTGTTTCATTTTGGAAGAAATATCTTAAGTAATGCTCGTTAGAAAATTGTTTGGAAATTTGTGATATGATTGTGCAAGGTATTTGTCTTGCAGCCATGGTTTATTTCATTTTGATCACTCTTTTAGATAATAAATTTCAAAACACTCAAGGTGAAATTGATTCAATTAAACATTCAACTTTTCAATAAACAAAAAGATATCATATATCAGTTTGTAATAGTACACTTTTTTTCCTGACCCTTGAATATCCTGGATCAATTTCCGTTTAAAAGTTTAAATTATTTTGTCCTCTAACTTTTAAAAATGCTTGACATAGGTTTTGTACTTAATTGTTTAAGTTTTCAAAATCTATACAAATATTTCAAATAATCAATTTTTGTAAAGCTTTTTAATTTGAAAGCAAAAAACTTTCGCTTTTTCCATGTGAATAAATCTAAATAGTGATATTTACAAATAATCAAAGACACAAAATCTTTGAATACCAAACTCAATTTGATCTCACACAAATTCAATTTTCATTTGAGTGTTATAAATGCTACCAAAACAAACATTTTTATCACCTTTCCTTTTCAATACAAAGACATTTTTTACTTATTTATAGCAGATATTTAAACATTTAATCTATGTCGACAATAAATCTTATTGCAAATTTTTTTTTCTTTTTAATTTTCACTTTTCCCCAGTCATTACAGTTAAATGCAACCATAAATCTTAATTACATTGTAATAATTCGTTGAATCAAATAAAATATTGAAATTTTAACATCCTGGTGTCTCAGGCAAGTGCTATCCCTTACCAACAGTTATATAGAACAATCTTTTGAATATGAATAAAAGTAGATATCAGATTATATAAAAAGTAGGAAATGCCAAAACACATAATTAACAGCGCCTGGTGATGAAACATAACCTGACCGATTTTGGTCTTCGTCAGAAGCAGAATGAAGTAATAATACTTAATAGTGGCACACTACCGGTAATTATATTTGTCATATTTTTTTCAGCTGATACACAAAATTAAAATGGCTTCAACCAATGAAAGCTCCATTGAAAGAAGCTATTGTCGTTTAGAGACCTCTTTATGTCAGTTATTCTCTCTATTACTTTTGACTGTATGAGACAGCAACCTAACAACACAAACAACCAAAAGACTTTAGCCCTACAATGATTCTGTGGAAAAAACTGTATGTGACTAATATTTTACAGTAACAGAGAACCTGTTTTGAAACTTGATCATTAAAATATGAAAATGAGGTCAAACAAAGGTGAACCCTCACAGAGTTACACAAATTTAGGCCTTACCACTAATTCTAAAGACCAAATATAATTGACTTTATTAAAGAAACTTAATAACTGAAGAACTTTATGCTGATTTGATTAAGTCACTCATGAAAATGACTTAATATTCGAATCAACATAATCAAGGTCAACTGTCTAGGCCGGACAACAACTTCAGACAAAAAAGCCATCTTTATACCAAATATGGATTGGCTTGCTCTCCTTCCTTCAGGAATAAGAGGCTATAAACAATAGTTTAAGGTGTTATAGCTTAATCTTTGTTGTGTCAGGAAGTCAAGTAAAATAAAAGAATGTTATTACTTGAAAAAGTATAATTTTGTTGATTTTTAATCAAAATTGATCGTGGAAGATCATTCAACGCATTATTAAAATTGATCGTGAAAGACAAGGCGTGACCAGACTTAATGACCAGAAAACAACATTTCTTTTACCAATTGATATACTTGTAATTAGTTGGAGTGTGTAATTACTTACTAAGAATGTAAATTAATGCTGTAATTTTTTTGGAGATATATATATATTAACCCATATTTAGACCTGTTTTCATTTAAAAGGCAATGTTATGTGTAACTATAGGCATCTAAGATAATAAGACCTCCAGGAGCATAAATTGTCGAAAAGTAAATATCTTTGTATATATTATGCTAAATGCATCCACGAATGAGTGAAGCGAGAAGGGGTCTGGTGGTTTTCCTCTGGAAATATCTTAATATGTTTGTTTTTGTTTCCGTAAGGGTTAAATCAAAGAAGCTATATCATTTCATTTTACATACAGATGTATAGAAGATGTTCTTTTCATTAACAATACAAACTTTTCTGATTGGGTCCCATTAATAGTCATGAACAAGAGATTACAGACACCACATACACAGACTTTCAAACCGGTGCCCATGACTTTCAAACTGGCGCGCAAGACTTTCATACTGGCGCTCACGACTTTCAAGAACTGGTGTGCACAACTTTCAAACTGGTGCTCACAACGCTTAAACTGGTGCGCACAAGTTTCAAAGTCGTGCTCACCAGTTCTTGAATGTCATGCGCACTATTTTGAAAGTCGTGCGCACCATTTTAAAAATCGTGCCCACCAGTATGAAAGTTGTGAGCTCTAATTTGAAAGTCAAATGCGCACCAGTATGAAAGTCATGTGCACAAGTTTCAAAGTCGTGTGCACAAGTTCTTCAAAGTCATGCGCACAAGTTTCAAAGTCGTGAGCAAGATTATTCAGACTAGTGCTCACCAGATTAAATCTCTGGCAAACGAAAAAATGTATATTTACCTGACACTTATGGGGCTCTGTAATTGTGCTTTACTATACTGACTGTATTATCAACTACAAAAACTTTTTTGTTGGCGTCTTTGTTTGATTTAACTGTAAGTGTGTTTGAATGTTGAATATAGTTGTGTTGTATGTCTGTGTATGTTTATACAATTTTGGCTGTTAGATCCAAGATATGGCCTCATTAACCAATTATGCCTGTTTGGGTTGCTTACCCAATTTGGCAATATTAATGGAACATTAAACAACTGTCAAACAAGTGGGCGTATTAGCTAGCTAGAAATCAGATTTAACAATGTTTTTTCCAATTTTTACAAAAATCACCAAGGATCTTCGTTTGATAGATATGACTGTGCATAAAAATTAATGGAAATCAGATGAGAGAATCTTAACTTTTCAAACAACATAAAACTTATGCAGGACTGACAGATGGACTTAGATTGTTAAAAGAAACTAGTCGGTGTGTATTATCAAATAATCAGATACAATGGCATTGAACCATCATAGCCCTATTCACAAACAAAATATTGTCATGCAAATCCATTCTTTTGTTATACCAATTACAAATATGAAATATCATTTGTTTAAACAAAGATTTGATCGTTTTTGTGGATTTTTGCAATAATGAATACCGGTAAGTGGCAACAGAGCTTTCATGATCATCAAAATGTGGTACCCGATCTTTCATGAACAGAAATATCAATTTTTTTACAAATATTACCATGAAGTTTCTGATTAAACTGAATCAAAATAACTTTAAGAACTATTTTATACAGTAAAATTGAACGATATTTTTAAGAGAAAGGTAGTTTATGCATTAGAAATTTGAAAAAAAATCATGTTTGTTTACATTTTATTTCTCGTAACTTTCGATGAGCAATCTGCCTTCTGTAGTTTTGTTAAAACAGTGTACTTTTAAGCCTTGGTTTTTCTCGGATACTAATCATAATGTTGAACCATTTTGACAGACAGTTTTATTTTTCTAATATTTGTCACTATAATTGATTAAATTAGATTATTTACTGACATTGCATGTGTCTTCTTGATAAGTTTTATTCACGATCCTATACCAGATCTTTCATGATCCAATCTCAATACTTGACCACCGTTACTTATTCTTTCACGATCATTTTCTCGATATACCGAATGACAGCTGTAAAGTTGCCTCTATGGTAATCATACTACATCTAATTTTAAATTAATGTGAATGAAAATGCTTAATTTATACTAGATCACTATAAATTGCTCTTATTCCTAAATGTTGTGGGCTAAGTGGAGAATCAGAAAATACCAATCAAGTCTAAGCTTTGTCCTGTTTCAGGAAAGACAATGTGATTTTTCCTAAAAGAGAGGCCAAAGAATACCAAAGGGACATTCAAACTCATTAGTCGAAAATAAACTGACAAGGCCATGGCAAAAAAGGAAAAAGACCAAAGGACAAACAACAGTATACAAAATAACACCTCATAGCAATATTTTTAGGGGTTGCAAAATGCCTTTAACATTCCAATTTTGTTAAAAATTCTTAAAACTCAATGTAACCTCACTTAAAAGAAAATGTTACACTTTATCATTTCTACCCAAGTCTCATCATTTTATTTCTTTAATTACCTCATTTTCAGTTTTTTGTTCATCATATTTTGTTTTGAAGACTTCAAGCTCTTCTACTTTTAACTTCAGTTCATTCTTCTCTCTCTCCCTGCAGAAGAAATAAATACAATAACTATGACATACAGTTTCAATAAAATATATATTATACATTAAGTTTTCAAGCTTTCACTAAAAACTGCACACTCTCCTGGTGGTACTCTCAGCATATAGGTTCAATAAAATTATAAATTTATATAATATATAATTACCTTGCTTTTAAATCCATTTTAAAATTTAAATTAGCAGTGCTACTACCCCTCCTCATGATATGATCATTGGCCATTTTAAAAACAGAATTACGCTTCTGAGAAAACGCATGATTTTTTTCTGGAGCAACTACACTGGTATCATCAGGTAGATCACTTGATATTGAGGACTCCACAGAAGGACTGCGTAATCTGGGACTACTAAAACTATCCCTACTCTCCAATTCTATATCCTGTGACTCTTCTTTGTTTTCGTGTACCAAATGTTCATTTTCCATCATGTAGCGTACTTAAAACTTATATATATCTTCTTTTTTTTTTATCAATCCTACTTTTTAAATTCAAATAACGAATTTTCCAGTTGAATATATAAATCCTATATCTATTTATTCAACATCATTCAAATTGTTGTAAGCTTTACATTACATGTAATTCAAACACCATCCATCATGTTAAATGTAAAATTAATAATTCAAGGATGATATACAATGAAACAGAACATTTTGTATCCTAATCTGTTGCTCTCAAAACGACATATCACTTCAAATCTGAATACTGTTCATATCAGCTTGCACTCGATGGGACAAGGTGATAGAAATATTGATAATAAATCCAACAATTGCAACCTTCCTTTAGTTTCTGATAATGGTATCCAGTTAAAAGGATCGGAAATCGTATATAAAAGTTTAGGAATTATTTCACCAATACACTTATTGTGTACACTCCTAACATGAACTCGTAAATTATATGTTAAAAACTTAATGACTAAATTAGCAACAGTAAAATCAGCGAAATGAATGACTGCTTATGAATTGCTTTCTATTATTTATTGTCACTTTTCCTTTTAAGATAGCCATCAGTCTCGTAATTTTTTGCATGGAATTTTTATTTATTCAGAAACGTAGGTAAATGGGTTTATTACAAATTTGCGACCCTAATGACAATTCTAAGTGGACCTAATCAATGCATCAAACATTTCCAAATGGAAAAAGGATCAAAGAATTTAATTCTAAATGATAAATGGGCTGGTTATGAGATCTAGAAATTATAATATAATTTCTCTATTGTTAATGTTAACAGTCAAACAAGTTAATTAATAACAAGTAATTAGTTCGTTAAAATAGAACAGAGTGCAAACTATATGCTATTCATTGATGAATAAAATTTGTTTTGGAAGTAAATCAGTACAATCAAAACACTGTGTAAAGTCCATTAACTTATTCTAACCTACATTTAAAAGGACATGAAAACTTTAAATTTACAGTAATACTGAACATAAAATTAACTAGGTCTCTCAAAATTACTAAATAGATATAAACAAAACTGTTACATGGGAATCATTTGCAAGCAGATAAAAAAAAAAGAAAAAGAAAAGAAAAGAAAAGAGTTCCAATATTCTCTCTTTGCATGTTAATATTTTATCTGTCCAAGGGCAATAACTAAAACATTTTCTGTTTGTTTTGGTTCTTTAAAACCTTTTAAAAATATCTTTGAGAAATCAAGTATCTATACAAATCCTTGGAGAAATGTAAGCTTGAGAGTAATTCATAAAATACAATTATAATTGATTTTTCCAAGGGGCATAACTCTTTTTAAAAAAAGTTGATTGCCACTGACTTATCTGAGTTTCTAATTATTGCTGATATACGCCCTCGATATTAACTTCATTAATATCTGGCAAGAATAGTACATGAACAAGCAGTTACAATGCAATTTTTGTTTATAGAATTTTCATTTTTCAAAGGGAGATCACTCCTGAAAAAATTAATTGATCAGCACTGAGTTTTGAATATATCCCAAACATTGCTGATACAAACCTTTACTATAAGTTTGATAAAAATCTGGCAATAATTGTAACTTCAGACTGTAAGCCATTATACAATGCAATTTTACATATAATTATTTCCAAAGTGCATAAATCTTTTTAAAAAGTTAGCCGGCACTGATTTTCGAATTTGACTGAGACATTGTTAATATAAATTTCATAATAATCTGGAAAGAATTGTACACTTCATAGCACTAACAATGCAATTTTCCATAAAATTAATATTTCCTAGTGGCATAATTCTTTAAAATAAAATGCTCCGCTGGGCGCAGCTTGATACGACCGCAGAGGTCGAACCCTGAACAGTTGGGGTAAGTATGTTGTAATATCATCCACGACTCACTTCGTGCTTACTGTTTGAAATGGATAAAACGGGAAAAAAGCTGACAAAAAATCTTTGGACTCTTTTTTTAATTCAGTAATGAAGATAGTTGATATACGTATACAACTTTTTAAAGAACATTTTACTTTTAACAACAACCATAAAAATCCTATTTCTCGTATCAAACATAAACTAAAAGAACTAGCCAAGGAATTTGTTTTTGTCCCGCCTGATAAAGCTGCTAATAATATCATTATAGTTTGACGTAAATTTTACATTGAGGTTCTGCAAAAGGAAATCACGAATTCACCAACATTCCAACTGACTTCATTTTCAGAAAACAATATCTGTAACAAACATAAACTATTAGCTACTTCTTTACAAGCAGAACCAAATACAATGAAAGTCCCAACTATGTACTGGCTTCCGAAGCTACACAAATCACCTTACAAATATAGATTTATTTCATCTTCAAGTCATTGTTCCACTACTAAATTGTCTATTCTACTTACTAGTACACTTGGTACAATCAAAAACCTGATAATAAATTGTTCAAATAAGGCCTTTGATAATAGTGGAATTAATTACTTTTGGAGTGTCAAAAACTCATTGGAAGTACTTGATAAATTGCATGCATATATTGGTGATTTTGAATCTGTTCAAAGTTTTGATTTTTCTACCCTATATTCCACTTAAATGCCTCATATTCTTATTAAGAAAAAATTCACACACCTAATTAAATGGGCATTTAAAAAGTCAGAATGCGAATACATATGTTCAAACTCTTTTAGGTCATTTTTTAGTAGCAACAAACAAAAGAACTCGTCAATTGGACATGCTTTGATACTATATCTGCCCTTGAATTTTTACTTGATAACATTTTTGTTCACTTTAGAGATTCCGTATATCGTCAAGTTATCGGAATTCCAATGGGGACTAACTGTGCACCACTTATTGCGGACCTGTTTTTGTATTGTTATGAGTTACAATTTATGACTAAAATCAGCAAAGACCCATCGAAACAACATCTGATACAAAAATTTAACAATACTTTCAGATATTTGGATGATATTTTGGCTCTCAATAATGACGACTTCAGTATGTAAACTAAAGAAATTTATCCTGTTGAACTTACTTTAAATAAAGCTAATACTAACAATGACCACTGTCCTTTCCTCTATCTTGATATCTATATCATTAACGGGAAGCTTAATACAAAAATTTATGATAAAAGAGATGATTTTTCATTTCCTATCGTTAATTATCCATTTTTAGATGGTGACGTTCCCTTGTCACCATCTTATGGTGTTTATATATCTCAACTTGTACGATTGGCTCGTGTATGTAACAACGTATTAGATTTTAGTGAGAGAAATTTATGTTTTACTGAAAAATTATTACACCAGGGATTTCGATATCATAAACTAGTCAAAACATTTACTAAATTTGATCATCGTTATAAGGACATCATTCGTAAATATAACTCAACATGCAGACATCTTATACGTTCGGGTATTTCACATCCAATCTTTTATGGTATTATTCTTTACAAAGCACAAAAATGTCAGTATTCACCTCAAAAGCTAACAAAACCTTTAAACAGACTTATTAAGAAGGGACATAGTTACGATACTGTTGTCAGGTCATTAAAGATTGCATATTTTGGCTTTAATATTGATTCACTTATAGGGTCTTTGCATCAGAATTAAACATATTTATTCTAAAACCAGTTGTTGGCATGACACGGGTTATGTTCTTCTCATATATTTTATGATGGTATAATACTAAACCCCTAACAGGAGGGATTGTGCCTGATATTCATATGATGAAGACATAATCTATCAATCAGTTTAATTGAGGTCTGGAGCTGGCATGTCAGTAACTGCTAGTAGTCTGTTGTTATTTATGTATTATTGTCATTTTGTTTATTTTCTTTTGTTTCCTATTCTGACATCAGACTCAGACTTCTCTTAAACTGAGTTTTACTGTGCATACTGTTGTACGTTTGTTTTTTCTACATTGGCTAGAGGTATAGGGGGAGGGTTGAGATCTCAAAAAACATGTTTAACCCCGCCACATTTTTGCGCCTGTCCCAAGTCAGGAGCCTCTGGCCTTTGTTAGTCTTGTATCATTTTTAATTTTAGTTTCTTGTGTATAATTTGGAGTTTAGTATGACGTCCATTATCACTGAACTAGTATACATATTTGTTTAGGGGTCAGCTGAAGGACGCCTCCGGGTGCGGGAGTTTCTCGCTGAATTGAAGACCCATTGGTGGCCTTCGGCTCTTGTCTGCTCTATGGTCGGGTTGTTGTCTCTTTGACACATTCCCCATTTCCATTCTCAATTTTACACAACATTCAAGCTTGATACAGCACTGAATTTGGATTGTGATTAAATATTTGACACAGCATAGGTTTCTGACACAGAATGTTGTCTAAGAACTTGAAAATTTTAAATTTACCTATTCAAACCATATCATTATTATTTGCTTTTATATATAAATCAGAAATAACCAATTTAAAATTGAAAATTTTAAAGAAAACTAGAGGCTCTCAAGAGCCTGTGTCGCTCACCTGTATTTACTGATGCTTTGGAAATCATGTAAAATAAGGTTAAAATCATAATTAATAGTATTAGATATTAGATATTATAATGATATCTAAGATAATAACAAAAAACTGCAAAATTTTTGTAA